CTACTGTCCTGAAACAAATGTTTTCATCCAAATCCTGAGACAAACTCACAACCAACGGCCAACTTACTGGAATTAGAAAGTCGAGTGACTAGACCTCCATTCATTGGACGCTGCCAAACACCTTGAACCGTAACGAAAGAACAAGAATCGATTGGTTTATACTAGCTCGTGAAAAAGATATTGGGTATTGAACCGAGGCGGGTTCAAATTTATCATCATTTTGGGTAAGTTGTCAATATTTAGCCTTTATGTTGTATACATGGGACATAAATTTACTGGCAATCTAGAATCGCGACAAATAACGCTTATTAGCCTTTTAGATTTAGGAAATATGCAGGCGCTAATCAAATAGGCAAAATATAACGAGGTCCATATTTCTCGCATATTTTTCTTCATTTTATGCAGGCTTGTCATTCTTCTGTCCTAAGAGCTATTGACGTTTTTCTTTTACTATATAAAAATGTTTGTATAACAGTTTTCGGCTGTAGATTTTATGAAGTTGGTCCTTGGTTTGTCAGTACCAAGCTGGCTTAATTCGATTTCTATGCGATTCCTTTCGGTGTAGTCATTGTCGATAGAGATTAAAATATCATATTGTTGCTCATATGTACTTTGTAAAGGCTACTGATAGCACATGGATCACTAAAAACTATTAGAAAAGGAAATCCAAGCAGAAGAAACTATTTATGAAGCCTAATGACTAAACCTTTAACTCATAATTGCACTATTTTTGTGATATTTTTACTTACGAATCGGGGATAATAGTATCCACAAGCCGCTCTACCTGTGTTCCTATCTAAGGTCGAATCCTCTCCCAAACCGATGTGCTGGAGTTCTAACGCATTCCTAGTGGTACACGGTGAAGTCACAATTGTTACCAGCTCACATAGATAAATGCACTCGTTTAACTTTTTAGTCCATGGTTGATATTTTCTGGCTTAAAATTCTAATATTGAAATGAGCATCTCATTTACTAACATGATACTCCTCAAACAACTTTTTACGGACGACTTAGGGAATGTCCGCTCTTTATGTTTCTAATATTACCTGACTGTGATACAGAATGAGGTTCTTACGAGAAGCAGTTTATCAAAATATATCTATTAGTTCAAAATATGATGCCTGCTTTTTAGAATAATTTAACTGTCTCCTCATTGCTTAAAAAACAGTATGCCCCATTGCACATCAGTTTATAAAAATAGGCTTGTTTAGTTTGGTGGTATTTACATTGGTCCATATCGTGTTGTTACGCATTATGCAGTGCTGGTTGGTTTCTTTACCTTTTATAAAGATGTTATTTGGGAAAATCAGGTGCAGACTAAATACCGAAAAAGCCATTTAGTTTATGATAACACTAGCCATTTACTGCAGGCTGGGCTGGAAAGATTGGCTTCAGTAGAGATTCTACTGTGCTCCGAATATGAGGGAAAAATGCCTCACATACACAAAAGGAATCGCACTGTTGTTGTCTAAACAAGAACAAGAAGCACCTTTAGGATGGGAATTTCATGGACTTGGGATCGTCAAAGCATCCTTCGAAACAAGGAAAGAGGGCATTACAATAAACGTCATCCAACGCTATGCGTCTACCAACGACTACAACGAGGACGTTAAAGATCAATTCTACGAGAGACTGCAGTCAATCGTTGAGTTATGCTCATCAAAGAAGTTAACCATTCTGATGGTAGACCTAGATGCCAAGGTTGGCATGGAAAACACTGAATATGAAGATATCATGGGACAACATGGAGTTGGAGAAAGGGACGAAAATGGTGAGAGATTTGCGAGCCTATGTGCTTTTAACATAATGGTTAAGGACGGCACCGTATTCCCCCACAAACGCATGGGTTTCAATGGATCACGCTGTTCAGAACCAAACCGACCACATCTGCATCAATAAAACGTCCAGAAGGGCTATGGAGGACATGAGAACCAAGAGAGGATTTCGCATAGCTTTAGATCACCACTTGGTAGTGACCAAGATGAGACTAAATCTAAAGAAGCACTGGACAGAGAGTCAGATAACACCACGAAAGCTTAATACTGCCCTTGCTTAGGATACTGACAAACTCAACGAATCCAAGATAGCTCTCAGTTGCAGACCTTTGAAAATTCACTCAATGGAGAGAAAACTGCCATGAAACAACTGGAAGGAGGTTAATAAGCATTAATTTCAACATGTCAGGTGGTTTTGGGTCACAAGTTGCACCATCAAAAGGACTGAATCTCTGGATACTCTGGATAAGATTGAAGAAATAAGAACAGGAAGACAGAAGTCAATAACAGCCGAACAAGAGCAGAGGAAACCAAGGCACAAGCAAGTGAAGAGGAGCATCAGAGCCGATAAAGGTAAATATGTGGAAGGTCTAGCAATGACGGCGGAAGAGGATGTAGGAAAAGGAAACTTGAGACAATTGTACGATACAACAAAGAAGCTTTCTGATAAATATAGTAAACCAGAACACCGACTGAAAAGCAAGGAAGGCAAAGTATTCAGCAACACTAAAGAACGGTGAAACAGGTGGGTAGATCACTTTAAGGAACTCTTAAATCGACCAGCTCCACTAAACCCACCTAACATCGAAGCAGCACTCACGGACCTCCCGATTGATGTTAATCCATCAACATTTGAAAAGATCAGCATGGTCACCAGACAAATCAAGAGTGGCATAGCAATAGGACCAAACAACATACCAGACATAGAAGTAACTGCAAGCATGCTCCAGATTTCAGTGAAATTTTGGAGGAAGAATAAGTACCGACAATCTGGGAAGAAGGATACCTCATCAAGGTACCAAAAAAGCGAGGCGTTAGCAAGTGTGAGGACTGCATAGGTATCATTCTACTATCAGTACCGGAAGAGTCTTCCTAAATACGAGATCAACAGACTGGATTCCGTTGGGATCGATCGTGAACCGACCAAATCGCGACACTACGCATCGTTGTTGAACAATCACTTGAATGTGACTCATCATCTACGTGAGAAGATAGTCAACATCATACGAAATTCTTAAGGACTTCACTCCAAAATCGTGCACGGAGAATATATTACAGACTCACTCGAAGTGAAGACCGGTCTCAGGCAAGATTGCTTACTCTCTCCCTTTCTGCTTCTTCTGTTGGTTGACTGAATTATGATGATTTAAACATCTCAGGAGAAGTGAGGGATAGAGTATAGCAGCCACATCTTCAGCAGTCGGTCTCAGTGTACACAAGGGAAAAAGTGGGTTCCTCCGATACAACACAGTGAAAATCAACCAAATCACACTTGATGGAGAAGCTTTTGAGTATGTGGAAACTTTTACATACCTGGGCAACTTGAATGATGGACAAGGTAGATCTGTTGCAGATATGAAGACACGGACTGACAAAGAAAGGGTTTCGTTTCTGCAATTGAAGAACATCTGGAACTGAGAATAACTGTCAACTAACACGGCAGTCAGAATTCTTACTACAAACGTCAAAGTAGTTCTACTATGTGGAGCAGAAACTTGAGGAACTATGGAAAACATTATTCAGAAGACACAAGTGTTTATTAAAGGCTGTTTACGCAAGATATTTAAGATCTAGTGACCAGATACTATCAACAACAACTACCTACTGTGGCAGAGAACAAACCAGATTCCAGCAAAGGAAAAAATTAAGAAACAGCGCTAGAAGTGGATAGGTCATCCATTACGGAAAGACCTCAACTGTGTCACGAGGTAGGCCCTAACATGGAACCCTGAAGACCGAAGAATACTGCTCTGGGGATCGTAGACAGTCGTGAAAAAAATGAATAGCAATCGTGAACAACTAGAAAGGAGAGTGGAAGACAGAGTTGGTTGGCGAATGCCCGTCGGCGGCTTATGCTCCATTAAGCGTAACGAGCGTAAATAAGTTATGATAAAACCAACGGAGTCATAGCTTCAAGCTAAAACATTAGAAATTCCTCATAATCATTAAAGATTGAGATCTGTTTCACGTAGTTTTAAAGGGTTCATACAAATCTTTGCTATCCACTTCATGTATCTAGGCTCTCATTTTAAACTACGGTGGTTTTATTGTGTAATAATGTTTAATTTCCATAACATACTCAAGGTTATATATGTTTTGGATGTCACTGGTAATCAAAAAGATCATCCTAACCTATATCGGTTTAATTCTTGACTACAGTTGACAATATGGTTGTCTCGTAGATTTATTACGACAAGGCAACTGAGTAGTTGCAAGTGAATTCATGGCGAATTTGTATGCTGGGTTGGTGTCCGCAAGATTTTTTCTATCAATGGTTATAGACTGGGTGACGGCTCAAAATCGTTTGGAGCAGTTCAAAAGCACTCAAAATATCTTCACTTAGATACTAGGTTTCTAAATTGCCTTATGAATTTACGTATTCCAATAACCCATATTTTCTCAGATTATATACTTGAACCCCAATCGTTTCTATTGTCACTAATACTGTTGTTATCCCTACTGCTCCGGGATACGTCCTGAAAGTTTCATCTCAAGTCACTGTACACTTATACCAGATTCTACATAGTATATTACAGACTGACTGATTACCGGGATTCAGCAGCACGCTAGCACTACAGATAACTTAATTGGCTTCAATCAGTTCCAAATTATCGAACCAATAAAGAATAAATTTGAAAGGATTCACAAAACTGTCAGCCGTTAATTTCTCATTGCGTATTTACAACGGCACTAAAATAAATGTAATTATTGCTGTATAAACAGAACCGAATGTTTGCAAACTGAACACGTTCCGTAATTCGTATTCATTTGCTATGATCGCTTTTTATCCGTGTAGCAGGATATCATTAATCTCATAAAAAGTATACGAACTATTACTTGGTTGCTGATTTGAATTACTATATAGTTGTAGCGTGATTAGAAGAGCATGATTTTTATAAGATCCATGCTTTTGAAACTGTCAATATTATTTCTTTATAGGCCATTAAAAATAAAATTGTGGCCTCTTAATTGATTCATCTCATTAATACGGGTTCTGGTAAACCATGGACGATCGACCAGTTAGTGGTGGAGGCGCTTACAAAATTAATTGGGATGAAATAGATGAAGTATCAAATCCATTTGGAAGTGGTGTTAAGGGTCTCCCGACTAAAACTCAACCGAAGTCTCTCACTAAACCATCTCCCCAAGGAGATCGCTCAGACGATAACACAAGTCAATCAGCAAATTTATCAACTGGCTCAGATCCTGAGAAACTGCTCAATAAATCTCCACAGAACTCTCAACCGTTACCCAAACCTCCTTCCAAGTTCAGTAACTCTACTGAAATCAAGCAATCACCGAATTCCTTGTCGTCTGAACCGTCTTCAGTGGTAAACGGACAAGCGAGGCCTAAAGACATCCAAAGTGAAAATGTTCCTCGGTGTAATGGTGAGATACCCGCAACTCCAGGTAAGTGATGTGCCAAGATAAAAAAATAACATGGTGATGGAATGAAAGCTTTAGAATTGGATTGCCTGTGGTGATTCTTTTGTTTAGGTTGTTTCATGCCAAACCATCAGGGCAAGGAATCACAAACAAAGATAGTATAAACGGGAATCTTAGTTGGTTGGATATTTATGAGAATATATATTTAAACCGTTAAATCATAAACTTCCCTCCTCACTTATATGGTTGAGTAATCGAAATCATTATTCGGGAGTTACCATCTGAGTATTGTCAGATAATTGATGTTCATTGTCGATGATTCACTCGAGCCTATTACAAACATTCTGTTTACTTTCGACTTTTATGTATACCAATCATTCGAAGTATCACAAAACCACCCTTTTTACAAACGCAGATGACTAAGATCATCATCATCAACAGCAACGTAGAACTTTGCACGTAAGTACAGCAGTTCAAGTTGCCATACCACATTAGCGCAGAGATATAACTGTCAATTCAGATCCCATAGTAGTAGAGGTAGTAACAGTGTTAGAACTAATCGGAGAGATTAGGGTTCGAAGATGTTATTCAAGAAGTATAATTCAGTGAGGTAAATATGGGAAGAGAGAGATAGAGGTGATGAGGAATTCAGAAGAATAGAATTTCATAGAACTCGAAGGGTAAATGCACCTGCGCCATCGCAAACGGTTTTGAGCCATGTCACTCAGGGTCTCTAACCATCGAGTATTATCATCTCGCGGACCCCAACCAAGTGGTCGACTCCTAAGAACGACTAATAACAAACAAACAGCTACAAATCAAATTTTAATTATCCCGGTTTAATTAATTTACGTGTTTTCGAAGTAGGCTACCAAATCATCGTTTAAGTAATCACAATGTTGTTTCAAACACTATTACCGATAAGCCTGGGCATGAGCGTCATGTTTACTGATCTTCACAGCTTTCGTAATCCGTTACCACTTTTTTCTACTATATATATTCTTTATTTCGACTCCGTTTGTTTCATACTGCACTCAGTATGTATCTGATGAAATCATCTTTCACGTCAAGTATGAAACTTTTTCAATCCATATTTAACACAGACGTAAATGATAATCTTTTATGTTTTAAAGTTATAAAATTCTGATGAAGTGCTTCAAAACACTCAAATGTTTCCACTAAAATTACATTGATGATCGCAATTAGCATTTCTAATCTGTCTATCGTTGATTTTCACTAATGGTTACTGAATCGTACTATTCCGGTTGCTGGTGAATGTTTGCATTGATCTGGGATAGACGATTATCGACTCACTATGATAAATTGACGATTTACTAGTTGGCGGTGGTCTGTAAACCTATTCATCAGCGAGTAATTAGATGAAGTAGTTATTGAAATTAAACCAAAGAAGAGTTGGCTGCTCAAAAGATATGTATAATATTACTCATATCTAAGAAAAATATCCATCAATTTACAAGAGTGTATACAACTAGCATTCTCCCATCTTTAATGTCATAGTAATCTATCTATGATAATAATATGCAAGTTTTTATTCAAACTGTGTGTTCATATGAGAATAATGTTTTAAAGTAAAGACGACCTTGATCACAGTTGAATTCAAACTAATGGGCTTTGATTTTCCGTGTTCACTATTTAATCGGCTTATGTGTAAATTTAGAGTCAATCACTATTGGCATCAGTATGTTCTAATAAATGTGGTTATGGGTAGACTAAAATTGATTTGTAAATTATTTTGCATACTAATTTCTAACTAATTTAATTGGGGACTATAATGCTTGATGAGGTAGCTAGAAAAGCTAGAAGTTGATAGTCATGGCTTTTTTATCACAACATCTGGGTAGAATATTTGGTAATTGAAATCAAGCAGTCTACGCTAAATACTTCGAATTCGTTGGCCAGGCACCATCAACAACAACCTGCTGTGCGAAAGAACAAATCAGATTCCAGTGGAGGAAGGAATCAAGAAGAAGCGGAAAGCACCCAACTGCGTTACAAGACAAGCCCTCACTTGGAACTCTCAAGGTCAGAGGAGAAGAGAAAGGTCAAGGAATATATTACGCCGAGAAATGGAGATAGGCATGAGAAGAATGAACAAGAATTAAACAGAACTGGAAAGGGAGTCCCAGGACAGATTTGGTTGGAGAAAACTGATCGGCGGCCTATGCTTTATTGGGGGTAACAGCCGTAAGTAAGTAAGAAGTCAAGCGGTACCCAGTTACCGGTCTAATGTGATTGGTTAGAACATGTCTTTGGACCGACGATTCTGCAGTCAAGTGCTCATAGTTTTGTTGAATCTTACGGTTCCTTTCTGTCGTTAATGAAGTTGATACAGGTATTTGTTTGAGATGTTTAGGTTTTAAATCGTACTTTAGAGTATATTGAGACTGTTTTCAATGCTTCTAGTCTTTTGCTAGTAGTACTCATTGTATGGTATCATCCGTGGTTCCTTCACTAGATTTATTATTGTGAATACAACAACGTGAATGTCATAAACCTTTCATTCGAGATTGACACCTTCGAACTACATATCGTCGATTGATTCATAGATTTCTTAGAATCTGCAGTCAGTTGGTCATACGCGATGTATATACGTTTGCTCAAGTCTCTACACCGCATAGCACAGTGAGGTGTCAGAGTGGCATAATCTGTAGTATTATTAATGGTACTTAAAAAGATCAAGAATGGAAGATCTTGTTCGAGCAGAAAATAGGGATCAATGGAATAGAAAATCATTTAGGATGATTGAAAACCTTCAGGTTTCAAGGAATATAAAAAAATATGTATGAATATGACCAGCCGCGAACGAATCTAAGATATATCATCCAAAGTGTCCATTTATTTATCACGTTTTTCACATGAACCCCAACCAGATAGTTGGCACCTATTTACACAACTCAGTTCAACATTCACTGACTTCAATGAACATTCAATATACGTTCATTGATTGAGCTTAAAAGTGATTGTGAATCGATGAATTTCTCTAATCATTGACAGTTTACGAATTATTAGTATGATTTTAAGCTTCAGTCGGAGAATAAGAACTTTCCTCATATTATTTATGTCTTGTGATAAAGCGTTTAGTTAACTAATAGTAATTAAGGCTTGATGATATTAGAGTATTGGTTCTGTTGTTAAAGTTATTGATCAATGGTCTGAATATTTGACTCCAACCACTGAGTTAAAAAAAAATCTAAAATTATGTTTGAATTAATATTAGGATTTGGTGGCCTAACGGTATCCTTACTTCAGCATTCCGAAGTATGAATACGTAACTGGTTACGCCACAGTGGATTTCATCTAGTTGATTAAATATAGATTACAAGCTGCTTTTAACCTTTTGATTATATTTCTAATGATAATTCAATTGTTTTCCATTCATTACTGTATAGTTCCCCAGCCGATCCCATCTCCTGAAGAAATATGTGAAGTGAGTTTACAACACCGAATATGACATTGTTTAGTGTGAACCTTTTCTTGAAAATTCTCGTTGTTGTTGAAACTGATTATTCCTTGATTTGTATTAGTTGTTTGAATATTTCCATTGATGTTCAAGACTGCAATTGATCAGTCTTTTTGATAGATGTGCATTCTGTGCAGATTGCCCCGATATTGCCTTTAGGCTGATAGTGGCTAGCAGTGGAATCCAGGACGCGCGTTTCGTCCTATTCGGGATTAATCAATTAGACTTACCTGCATCTCAGAGTAAATGTTCACTCCGGGACTCGAACCCAGTACCTTTCGCTTCAAACACCTTTGCGTTATCCACTTAGCTACTAGGTTCAGGTAGCCACTCTCTTGTGCAATGGACTGAAAATTAATTCATTCGTATTAGTTGTTTGGATCTTTTTCATTTTTAGGACCACAATCGATCAACAACTCTGAAATACAGCTACATCCAGCTGATGAATCCCAAATAGGATGTAAAGCACGTCCTGCATTCCACTATTAGCCCACTATCCACCTCTGCCAATGATGATTATTCCTTGTTATGTTTTCTTGCATTCATTTTGATACTAAATTCCATAATCAACTTTATTTATTTTCCGGCAATTTGTATAACTAATTCCTTCTTTCTTCAATTAATAGGCGTTTCTTCTTACTTTCGCTTTTTCTGTATAATCTAATTTTGTTTTTTGTATATTTAATAATCAATAATAATTATATCACTTTTAAATATGGGGGCAGGGTAATTTAACAACAGTGATTTCGACAAAGCAAGCAAGCTTAAAATTCAGTTGCTTATGAAATTGGCTTATTACTTTGAATAATTGTTCACATTAGGCAGGTCAACTAAATCATTTCTACGAATATTGAACTTGAATTCTTAATAAGTAACATTTTAGGGGTTTACATTTTCAACGAAATAATTCATCTCATATTGCTATTACGAACAAAATAAGACACGATTCAGTTAGATTAATTAGGTTGATAGCGTAAAAGTCAATTTACTTATCGAGATTTAGTCTGAATTTTTCTTCATTGAAGTGAAATTTATTCTTTGAACGCCGTCTTTTATGTGTATTGATGAAAAATGGCATATCTGTACTCTGAAAACATTGATTGGCACGATAATAGGCAACTTTTCCTGTTTCTATTTCCACTTGGAATGCATCTGTCAACTGCTCTAAATGTATGAATTAATAATTTCTTCCCTCGTAGGAGTCCCTCGTAATGGAAACTTTCTTTCTAGGTACTCCGTAGTATCGAAGACGATTCCACAAAGTCCGTTGGAATTGTCGATTGCTTTTCTATAATCAAGTACTCTACTCGCCTGTTTCTCTTTTGTTCATCCCTAGTGATTGGTTTTCCTTTTCCATTCCTGACTTATTTGTCTGGTTTACTATTTGTCCTTAAAGGTTTCTTGGTTATATCATATGGTCCTTTCATATTTCCTTCTCTTACAGCTTTTTCTGTTGTAGTTTCTCGGTCTTCCACATTGTTCCTCTTCTCCGCTCTAATACTCTCCGTTACTAGTTTGTTTGCATCCGTAAGTGCACTTTATGTCTTGGCTTTCACTGTTCTTCGTTCAGCTGTTCTTCTTGCATTCTTTTTCTTGAATATTGATCAAGGTGTCTAAAGGGATCTATTTTTTATGCTGGCGCGTTTTGGGGCGCAGAACCTCCTGGCATGCTAGAACTATTGCTTCCTTAATCGTTTTTCAATCTCACTTCATAGTGTTTTTCCTTTCTTCTAATCGATCTTCAAAAACCTGGGACTTGTTGACGAGAACTATTTTGAACTCATTAAACTCGTTAGTATCTCAAAGAAAGTTTGCATTAAACTTTCATGGTGCTACTTGTTCAGTGCGCCTTCAGCTCCAGCTCTAGCTTGACCTAAAGTTATATCACCTCATTTCTTTGTTCTTAAGTCTTCATTTGACCTTCTGAACTTTCTTATTTATACAGCTGTGATTAGTTTGGTTTTCTGTAGTTAGGTATGGTACTGACTGACTAACTAATGATAAGCCCAAAAGGGTGAAGCATACATACATCAATATTCAGTAGGTTTAATACAAACCCACAACTAAGACAAAATAAAAATATCATAAACCAAGTATTTAATAATTACATAGAAGGATACAGATTATTTCATTGTTCAATAGTTCTGAAATTTTAACCCTTCCCAAATTTCCGCTCCTTTGAAACACGAAAACGTAGCTTTTTTTAGTTTGTAGGATTTGGAAAATAGAATTAATTTTAATATATTGCCTCTGTACTATTTATATCAAGTTATTAACCAATCAATTTCGTTTCGCAAGTTTTCATTGATCTTTTTTCTTTTCTCACCGTGTTTATTTCTTTTCGAACCAATCGTGAATGAATGCCAATAATGCCAATGCTAATGTTTTAACACATCCAAGGCGTTACAAAATGTTATCGGTAAGTCTACAATTATATCATATTTCTCTTTGAGCAGTAAGTTTGTTAGTTTTTTTTTGTTTTCGAATGATTTTCTCGCTAAAAATAGCATTAATGCAAAGTGTAATCAAATCAGCTATTCTGATTATAATAATTATTTTCCAAAGTTTTGTATAACAATTTATCTACCTATATATTTATTAATGTATATAGTGGTGACGTTAAAATATTTAATTTTCAGTCACTGGAATTCAGACTCGAACTCTGCTTTTTTCATTTTAAGCTTTTGCATAGTTTACGATAGAATACATATGATTCACAGAAAGGAATATACAATACTATCAAATATTTTGCAGCTTTATTTCATTGCCACAAATAGAATGTGAAATTTGAAATTGTACAATCAAATCTTTTGTATAATGTAATAAATTATTGAGCTGTTAATTTAATAAATCTAAAATTTCGACTTAATTTAAGAAACATTTAAAGCTTAGGAAATACCGTACAAATATTGCCTTTTCGAAGAATATACAAAGAGTATGTCTAATTTTCTCTCCCTCGTTTAATTCATTAACTTACAAATTTTTCAACAAACAACTGACTCGTTTTACATTATCTTGAGAGTGTACATTTGAGCTATTTATGAGTTAGTCCGTGTTACGTGAACCAGATAATAAAAGCCACCCAAAAGTTTTCACTAATGATTAACCAGTGGAGTTATTTTGTCCTCCAACACTTCTAAATGATTATCAGTATAGGATTGTGGAGATTGTTGAGTTTCATTGAAATCAACTTAATAATAACGAAGTATAAACAGATTCATTCACTTGGGTTTGAATCGTTCACTGTTTGTGCATGAATTAATGCTATATTATCAGATGTCTGAAACCAGTAAGAAAAGGAAAATGGTTTTGAATTAGTGGTTAACTATCGAACTCAATTAAAAGTTTCATTGAAATCATGAATCGATCAATGTCAGACCACCATCGAAAGCCTAGAAATCTAACATTATTCAATTCATGATTTCAATGAAATTTTTAACTGAGTTTGATAGTTAACCACCAGTTCAAAGCCGTTTTCCTTTTCTTACTGGTTTCAGACATCTGATAATATAGCATTAATTCATGCGCATATAGTGTGTAATTCAAAACGGAGTGAATGAATCTGTCTTTACTTGGCTATTATTAGGTTGTTTTGATTAGATTTTAATCTTATGATTACTTATTGATTAAGTGTGAGTGAGTGATTTAATTTTTTAAGTGTTTAGTAGCAGGCATACTAGTCGTTAACAAATTCACAAACAAGGGTAGGATACATTAAGTATCATCAGAAATCAATGTTTTCACAATCTCTATCTGAGATTCGAATTTCTCAGTTCTATGAGGGTAAAATCTGGGTATAGACTCATCAATTTATTAGACACCTTATTCTGTATTTACATTTGATGCATTTTCTCAGTAGGTGTGAGTGAATAGTTATGTTTGTATTCATACTGTTTTTAAAAAAAATAATTTTTACGCTCTATGATGTATGATTTTGGCTTCTAGTGTGATGATGGGTCAATGAGTGATCAATAATTGTGTAGAGCATATATACACTCGCATGCTCTATTTTCATTAGTATTATTGTTGCAATAATCAGTACAGTAAATTGTTTGCTTTTGATAATCTGTTGGTTATAATAATGATTCTCTTAATTTTATGACTTAATTGATTATTTTTTCCTGGTAATCATTCGGTCAGTTAGTTGGTTAGTTGGTCACTATGTTCACACGCTTAGTATTTTTATATTGTTACAATGTTGCGTACACTTGTGTTGTAGCAACAAAATATCTTTTGTAGTTGATTTTATATATTGTTGCCTAAGAATTAGAACGATTAACAGATAGTTTGCAACTCAGGTAACTTTGTGTTTATAAATGATTCACACAAGTGGTCCATTACTCTAAGTACCCGACATTCTACACTTGAAACATGAGCTCAAATAGAATTCGACCTACTGGAAGCGGGGATTGAGCATTCAGGCACTCACTTTCAAGAAAACCAGATATAACTTTTAATCTCGTGTTAGTTTAGAATTACTTCTAGAATTGCTAGTTTCTCCCAGAATAAAAATGTGTGCAATACCGACAAAATTTCGATAGATATTTTGATCATATTAGTAAACTCTAGTTGTGTAGAGTCACGTGATAGTTTTTTATTTTTATTTTGTGACTTCGACATCCCTTTAGATGTTGTAATATTTATTTTAGCTTTTCTTTGTCAATGCTAAATCCATCAGAACCTTTTGTTTACATTTATTATTAAATTAATTTTTTTTAGTATATCAAGCGTATTTGATGGTTATTTATTGATAATTTTAATTTGTGCTAAGTAACATTATTAAGTAATTAGTAGTAATGATTGATTAACTTTAACAAGCTATGGTTTAATCGGTCTGAAATTGATCGGAATTTGTGATGCAAATATTTCGGTTTCTGTAAATCTTCAAATTTTACTTTAAAAAAAAATATAACCCTAGCAGATTAATGTATACTTGCTTACTGAGTTGGGTTATTTAGCTAATCCAATCAGATATCGGAGTTAATAAAAAGTAATGTTAACGTAGCTTAATTTCATTGTGGCCAATGGTATAAGCAGGAAAAATTATCATTTTACTGCGAATAAGTATTAGAGTTTATTGCTTATACTGTATTCGATTATGACAGTTGAGTTGTGTTTTCATTATATGATTGAAAAGCCTTAGTAAAGTCATGTATTGTTAACAAAAGCTTTATTTTATAAAATTCATAAGAAATTATTTAAATATAGAACTAAAATAAGATTTTATGATGATCAATACTCATGTTAAATTTTGTTGAACTATTTTATTTGTCAAGACAAAATCCACATAAACAAGTATATCCGTTAAAGTGGTAATAAATGCATGAAATAAATTTGCACATTCAATGATAGACAATCTTACAAGAGTAGACAAATCGTTTGTTTGGTGAAAACGCTGACAAAATGCAGAGTCTTCTGACTACCCTAAGCAACAATGCAAGCATGTTCGGAACGCGATTCTTTTCCTCGAAATGCAAAATGTTGCTTCCTAATTGGCTTGCATCGGCACCTGAACTAATGATAGGGAATAAAGTAGTTGAGCGTGTTGACCACTTCACACATCTCGGGAGTCTCATCAGTGCTGATGGCCTGGTGACTGACGAAATCTCGGCTCGGATACAGAAGTCTCGAGATGGTGGAAAAAATTTGTAGCTTAGGTGGATGATTGTGGTGGTGTTTCGTTCTCTGAGCTGGATATTTTGGTTGTGAAGCTTTCATTGTTCTTCTGAACAACATCATCAGCACAAACTTCAGATGGAAGTGAAGTATTCGAATTTCTCCACGTTTGACCTAGTCAGACTGATAAAATGTTCTTCACTTGATTTGGCTGAATGTATCTAGTATAGGACGCTGAAAACTGCAAATGCGTAAGAGAATCGTCCTTATTGTTTTATCTAGAAAACCAAACGTCATGTTGGCGTCCCCATGAAAATCCAACTTCAAGTTAGTTTTAATTACTGGTTACTTAATAAAATTAGGTAACACATGGTATATATGTATCTAACACGATAAATTATTGATAAAGCTCATCAATTCGTTTTGATTGATTGTTCTAACCTTCCCATTGATATTTAAGACTTCAATTGATCAATCTCTTCTGCCATATGTGCATCCTGTACGGATTGCCTTGATAATGCCATTAAGTCGCAAGCATTATAAACAGAGATAAATGGTAACTAGTAGTGGAATACAGGATTCGCTTTACGTCCTATTTGGAATCCAATTGGCATCCAATCTCATCATTCTGTTACCATAACACCATTTGTTTAAACTTTGAAACACTAAAAAGAGGAAATCGATGTAGAAAACAAACTAGGTGAAAACGAAGATATTTTAAGATAATTTTTTAACAAATTAAACCAAAAACGATTATTTGTCATTGATTTATTTTGTTTACTTTGAAAACTTGTTTTATGTATCTATAATCTCATGAAAATGTTTTCACTCGTATATCTATTTGAAATTTTCTCATGAAATATTTCTTTCCATAAAACAAGATGCACCAAAATATGTAGTAGTGCTCTTAAGATTTATAGTAAACCTCTTAATCATGTAACGTAGTAATTTATACATTAGATTTTAAGCGTAAGGTGGTGGTTTTCGTTTTAAAAAGTATCTAGAATTGAATATCTGTTTATTACTGAATATTTAACAAATCCTTATGATGTGTATTGATAATAGTTAGAAAATGATCTTACTGTATTTTGTTTGTTGATATCAATTTTTAGGACAGTAAGACGAATAAATTATACATCAATCAAATGTAGTCGTAGAATAAACCCACTGAATAGTTTATACTATTGTCAAAGTCCTCAGAGTAAATTGTTGACTTATTTTTTTAAAAAATACTGTTATATCAGGTTGTCTAGAAGTGCATGTAGCTTGTCAAGTGTCGAAGATTATAGGGGATTAGCAAGCGGTAACAAAGTTAGTATCAAGTGTTGAAGTACCTGCAATTTAACTGCTCTAATTACAAGATATTATTCAGCTTCTACATCTTTTTAATATCTCTTACTGTAAGTAAATTATAGTAAACTAGTATAAAAAACAAGTTATTTCAGTATTATGCCATAAATAACCCATGCACACTCTGAAACTTAATGTCTTCTATAATAAAGTCTGAATAACGCAGAATATTAGGAAGTGCATGTTTGGTATTCATGACCTGCTGATCATTAAGTTGGGGAACTGATTAGAATACTGTATAATAAATTCATTTTCTTTTGAAACATACTGTAAAATGCTAGTTGCTTCATAATTAATTAGCGGGGCAATGACAAAAACTACAATAACCAGTATGATTTTTATCCAGTTTAAATGTAAGTACACAAGTTTTTACCGAAATTTGAATTTAATGTTCGGTCATTCATATCCACTTGTTAGTGTTCACAATCTCATTGAATTAAAAATGACCACTTTTAAGGAAAGAAAAACAATAGTTAATTTATAAGCAAATACCTATTATCATAAGGTAACGTTATTATACTAAAACATTAAAGCAACTTGCTTTGTTTTAAATAAACGAATCAAGTATGTGTCGGCGGCATTTATTAAATTAAGTGAAAAATTTAACATCTAAAGCGTCAATGGAAAGTAAACACTTGAACATCAATGTAGGATTCAAGTGATTATAACCGAATGTGAGAACATACTAAAGTAGCATTTGTAAATTACGGAACCGACAAGGAGGTCTGTTAGAACTGGTCGACTGGTTTGTAAACTATGAATGTTTAACAAATATGTTTGTACTGTCATGCATAAATTTCAGTGAATTATGAACAGGATGCTAAAATATAACACAGGCGGCTAGATCAAGAGATGATACGAATTGATGATGTTACTCAACAATATAAATAACTTGGCCTGCTGACCAGATTTTATAAGGCGACAAACCTAATTAGTCAAAATAACTAGGTGTTATGGCTGAAAACTTGTCCCAGTGTTTCCTCGTGTCAGTAGTTTCAAATTGTCAGATCTGTGACATTATATTACATAACATATAGATATAACACAATCTATTATTTCTCTAGAATTCTTTGGCAGTTTCTATCTAACTCTGATTCGAATAATCACCTTCATCTTTTTTTGTCTATGGAGAACTTTTCCGACGAAATCTCATGGATTCCATCAGATAGTATAGAAATCTTTATCGACCAATTGTTCACAACGTCAGCATCAAAAATTTATAAATTAAAATCTTAGGGAATAGCTAAGATTTCAGATTTTATCTCGTTTTATAATAGTACTTATTGAATTTCGCAATCACGCTTTATTATTGTGCATTATCAGATAGAAGAATGTTGACTGTGATTGAATAAAATTCATAAATCTGCTTAAAAAAAGTGTAATTTTCAAAATACACTAATAAGCTTAAGTGGTTGTTGTGTTGAACAATTATTATTATTATTCATTTAAATGATCAAATGCTACTTTGGAATATGAAAAGAATGATTTCTAGTATTGTTTATGATGCACTATTATATTTTATTCATTTTTGTGGTACATAATGGAAAAAAAATGAAAAAAAAATAAAGATTTGAATTTCCATTAAAAAAAATTTGATGTTGAGAATTGTTTGGAAAATTTCGGTTACGGTTTAGTAGTTATGCTAGGTTATTCATCAAATATCTTAAGAGAACTATTTTTATAAGTGTAATTTTATTGGTCAATTCCTACTGGTCAATATTTTGGTCGTCCGAACTATCAAGGTCACAGACTTCAATACTGTTTCCTATTCGACCTAACTGTATAAATATGCATTATCTGTTAAAGCTAATTATTCCTTACTTCCTTCTGTACTCGACCTCATAAACAACTTCATCTGACGGTGTGGTCTTCTGATATATTGGAGATTTGGGAACAGTAGTTGGGGTCATACTGGACTATCTGGATTTGATCAGTCGGTAGGATTTCGAATAGCTACATAGCGGCATTATAACAAGTTATGGAGACATCTAATTTTCAACTATTAAACTGGAAAGTTCAAGCATCAATTAATTAGCCGACCGTACTATAAATAGTTACGGCGTAGTATTATCGTTTCTCATATCGCTAGTGTTACTAAAAACTGAGTTTATGGAATACGCTGTTGGTTGTTTGTGTTGCGTCGAAGTCAGTTAATTTAAATATTTTGGCGCTCTGTCATAAAACAGCATGAACAAGCTGTATTTTCGTATATAGATTTTCATTATTAGTTGTATTCAATAAGTTACATATAATAATTGACTTACAACTAACAAAACTGTTGTTATTATTATTATTATTATTATTATTATTATTATTATTATTATTATTATCATCACTGACAATGTATTTATTAATGCTTAACTACCGGTTTATTCCTTTTTCTAAAACGTATCTACATATTTGTGATGTATGATAAAATTATACTCCTAGAGTTGAATTTCTATAACACAACATTCTAGTCAATGCATTGAAACAATCTAAACTATTAAATCATTGACACAATCCATATATAGTCTTTTACTGTAATCTTTATTACTGTTAATTTAGAGCAGTTGATTTAGACAGAATTCATAATTAATTCTAGTTGTTTCCTTTTTGATAAGATTAAAATATATTGAATAAAATCAATTTTTATTTTTAAAGGAATTTATTGCAAATTAATTGTGATAGCTTGTCACTATTCTTTTTTTTCTTTCCATTTTTAACTCTCTATCTGGATTTAATAAACAAAGATTGATTTAGTAGCAGCAGATATATATTCACTGAACTTTATGGTATGATGGTATGGAATGCACATTTTCAAAGTGTAAAAAGGCTAAAATTGCTACTAAGTTATTCAAATAGAAATTTATCACTTCTTGGTTTGAAAAAATTAAGTGCCTGTAGATTCAGTTTATTTGGAAAAGAAAAAACCGACTAAAATTGTGATCGAAGGCGTGCGTTTCGTTTAATTTTGCCTAGCCAGTTGCATGTACCTACATCTCAGCTGACAATGATTATAAACTAGGTGTTTTGTTTATTGTTAAATAAACATCCTTTAACAATAATTTACTAAGGTTGTTTCTTTACTTTTTATGGACTTTCCTATGTGTACAGGTATTCAAATCTGTTAGCTTTTTTTTATCTTATCATTTAAAAAAAATTTCATCCATGTCTAATTACTTATGAGTAGTTAGTTTTTAATTTATGTATTTTTGAGAAGTGACATTCATCATCTATTCATTTGATTTCTACTTTTTTTTTTCTAAAACACATAAACAAATGAAATAGATAATCAATCTGACAGTTCTGATGCTGGTAATAATTTAAAGGCTTCACCAGATCATTCTGATGAATTTGATCCAAATTTAGAGTAAGTTGCTCATTTTACTCTGAATTTCAAATAATTCATTCTAAAATGTAGTATACAGATGTGTAATTCATTTTAAATCAAATATGAATGTAAAATTCTATTTCTAGTTATAATATTTACAATATATTTAAACGCCTGTTTTTAAGTAGTCTTTGTATGTCATGTAAATTTCGTTTCTCTAATTTCTAGTCCATCCTTGTCTGTTTGGTTGTTTTACCACGTGTACTATACAGCATTTGCCTTTTTAAACGTAAATTTTCATATCAATAAAAAACTTATTGAAGTTGACTATTTTTGGGAATTGGACAGCTGAACGACTTAAATGTAAATAAGTGGTCTAACTCCAATCAAATTACGATATTGTATTATAATGTACGATGTCTGAAATCAGGAGACCAGGAAAAGTGTTTCGTGAATTCGAAACATTTGCATCAGCGGTCTTATATCAAGCATTCGCTCGCGAGGTCCAAGATCCTGGGTTGGATTACCTATGGAGCTGTCGTAAATATGCATTGCTGAAAAGTCTCAAGCTAAAGAGAAGTAAATATCCAATCATCCCTAGTTGTCACTGATGATCTATCTAAGTTCAGTTCATGGTTTAATCTGTGATATTTACGGGATTCACCGATACTGTTTTGTTTTCAAATAGCATGATCAAAATAGCTACGTATCTACTCGTTATATTTTTTTGCTATATTGCTAAATACTGTTGAAACTGTCTACATCCTCGTTTCATTTATTGTTTTTATGTTATATGTACATAGTATGACTAATTTGATGTCAAATTATATTGATCCGAATCCTAATACTTCTACTTTTTCTTAGTATGTGCATCTTAGTATCTTTGTGCGCGGAATAGCCATTCATTATTTCTCTTCATAGGTATATTTTAAGTTTTTTGAGTAAAATTTTTAAAAAGTCAAACCGTATTACCTCTGCATATCACTTTAGATTACTGTGAAAATCTTTTCATTGTTACATCACTCTCTCCATTAACCATGCTTTACTGTTTGGCTTTCTTTATCACATTAGTGAACCAGTGGAAAACAATATCGACAATACCAGTGTTATTCCTGATGTTATGCAAGTATGTTCATTACGTGAAGTTTAATTTTTTTTCTCTCTTGTTTTTCCTTATAATTGTATTTTAGTGCTTTGATCATTTTTCATGCAATTGTTTCATATTTGTATTCACTAACATTTTACTTTGGACTATGTTTATTTATTGTATGAGATTGTTAACTTCGCAAGTGTACAAATAATCAACCAATAATGTTTGATTGTAAATTTACGTTATATGAATGTTTGATAGAGGTAAATAAAAGTCAGTTAAATCTCTTCGCCGACATTATCAACCACTAGTTGATTTATTAGTTCCTTGTGAATAAAAAAAGAATTTCATTATTAGTCTTTCAAGGTATTCCGTAATCATCTTAAGCATTGTTTATCTACCTTGAAAATTTCTGTTTTTTTTCAGTTTTTTTGTGATCACATTTGCATTCAGATAGTTTTAAATGTACCAAATTTAGTTGAGCTTGATAGAGCCCATTTTATCATTTAAACTATTTTTTTTGGATTAATCAATCACTCAATGTTACTTTCCACCTACTTACGCTGTTAAAGCTTACTTTTTATTGAGGTACCTGGAAAGGTAGTAGTGATCACAACAACCTGGATCTTTCCTCTCGGAGCGCAAGATATAACTTCTTGGAACAGCATTTTTTCAAAATAGTTTTCGATGTATTGGCTTTGAATTTTGAAGGTCATACCATTGGTGATGGAAATCCATATAAGGTATAGTATACTATATAGTATACTATATTTAGGGCCCATTTTCATAAGGAAAATGCAAGACACTTGTTTGTACGTAAAAAAAGGTGATTCTTTTCGAAACACCTTACTACATTATTTTCGCGTTACGCTAGAATGTTTAAGTTTATATTTAGCAATTTATCTGCCTTAATAAGTATTGTATAGATTTTATTTCTTATGCAAGAAATGAGTTTGTGTACTTATTATCTTATTTGTAAATTTTGAATTGAATACTGTCAGTTTAAAAGTGAGATACATCATTTTCTGATGGTATATCTTGGAAGTTTATAGTATTAGCTCAGTAAAAATACTATGGTTTGTTTACTTATCATCTATTCACTACTCGATGACTAATCAGTTATTCACAAGCTTTCAATTGCATAATGAATAAAATATTTCCAGTTATGCATTTTATAGAAATCGCCTAATTCCTTTTTACTAGTTTTATGTCAAGGCAACATAGTCAGAGATTGAACAGATATTTCTCTTGAAAATCAAAGTCTAACTAAAATAGAAAGCAAACGAAACTAGTGAGAATTTCGTGTTGACCAATGTTTGTTAGATACACTGTAGAGTTATATTTTCCAACCATTGTTTATTGTAATCCAATATTTTTAGTAACTTATGATTTTATTGCATAAATCTATACTTTACAATAGATATATTGAAGATATAACGGTCACAGCTTTTATTCTGTATACATAAAAAATAATACCTACTGTTGTTATAACATATACAATGCTTATTGTCAACACTTTAACCAATCCCCTAGTTTTAATTTATTCATTAATCAAACAATAGATTTGTTGTTCTATGAATCCATCTGATTGGAAGAAAGTGTACTATTTACACTGTGACTTTAAACAAACTAGATATTATTGATATATAAATGAGCACCTCTAATATAATATTTCAAATTATTTTATTACGACGCATCGATTACATTTTTTTTTGATTTCTAAGTGGGACAAACTGTCCTATTGATATAAGTTTTATAGTATAATGCATTCATAAAGTTTATTATTGGTGAGTTCGTTTATTTATTGTTCAGACTTTCATTAGTTATGATTCGATGATATTTGGTGCAAATTTTCCATCTTTTGTCATTTATGAATTTATCAGTAACCAATCACAAAGGATTTTCTTGTAGTGAATAAGGCATACCGCAGTCAAAGTTCATCTCATTTAAGTAATTATTCAAATGCAATGCGCAACATAGATTAATATACATTAACCTTTAGAGAACAAGCCGACATACTGAGGTGATTTTAATCGAATCGACTGCATACACTGTGATAGTGTTAGCATATATTATATCATGTAGTATAGGTTATGATGTTTTATCGGCTGATTTACTACTAAATGCATGCAATATTCTAAATTCTACATTAAGCTAAAATGTCTTTCATTTTATGTCAGCTAGATTAAATTGTTAGGGGAAATTCTAGAGTAGTTGAGGTATTAACAGTATTCGTGATAATGAAGACCATTACACTTATAAGGTACGATTCAGGAAAATATAGATGAGTGGACTGAAAAGATTATGAGGAATGTAGAAAGTTGGGGTGTAAAGTAAGGTGGGGAGATGCGTTATCGTGAATATGGTGGACCTCAACCACGTAGTCCTTACCTATCAACCTGGCTCATTTTTAACTGTCAAAGCCTTCATTGATGGGTTCACTCGTTGCTGCTACCTTAACGTGGTGATCGGACTTGCTTATTGTGTTTAGTAAACCGTGCTAAATTGGCTGGAACACATGTTCCATTAAGTCATGCCATTCAAGGCAGATCGGTCGGAGAACGGTAAGAATGAAAGTGTCAACTCGAAGTCCGAGGGCGGATACTATTGACTGTATAGAGGTTTGAAAGCAGTAATATGTTTCTCTCAGCCAACCAGTATCTACAGCAAACTGCCTTCCGACAACTGGGGAAAGGAGTTAGCAAAGGTCAACCTAAAATATATCATACTTCACTTTATCCCACGAATTTTCAAGTATAGAGTTGATACACCAAAAATTTCACATAAGAAGACTGTGCGTGATTGGTTTCAGAAAGTTGTCTTTCGTGCTCTGCAGTCTCACTTAAGTCGCTAAGGTCAACACTAACCTAACTCGCTTCTCTGGTTCATCAAGAAATACCCTTCTATGATGTGAGCAGCGGGGAAGTGACAACTGAACTCATATCTGTGAATGCACATGAGGTCATCTTGTACACGACAAAATCCCCTCCTTACCTCGTAGTAACTGTCTTATCCCCATGAATTGCGTCACGTAGGGCATATGTGAGATATCCGTCTACTAACCAAAGGATGCGGACCACCGAGTAAGCAATGCTTGAGTCAGGAGTAGGGTGCTCGGTAAGGGTAGCAAATCAATTAATGAAGTAGTGAATCTTCACATGTTGAGCTGATTGAAACGTGTTGCATTTGTCCAGCGACCGCCTATGTTGACGGGCTGTTTTTGATAGTATTCTTATTTCTTATATGTTATATATAATTAGTCAGTTTAGGATGGATTTCTAACATAAAATTTAGTAGTTGGAAGTCAAGTAGGAAAGTTTAAGAGGATTTTCATTTAGCTAACCCTCACGCCAAAAGGTTTGTTTCAAGGCTGGGTACCATTAAAATGTACATAGTTATTATGTTGCATTCATTACATTTTTTTTCCACATTGATTATTAGTCTCCAGTTTTTTTCATTTCATTATTACTTTTAAATTTGTTCAAGCAGTGAATTGTAGTAATACGATTTAAAGTATACGTTACTGTTGAAATATTAGTCAGTGAATTATTGACCTTATTTTACCATGTCCTTACTTTTCATAGCGTAAATTTTATCTTCGATCAACCAATCACTTAATTTGCAATTTCATATTTTTCGTCTAAAATTTTACTTATTTGTTTGTATATAAGTTTGTTGTATTACTTACTGTCTATCAAATAGACCATTGATGCAAACCATTCTAACTATATGATGTTTCATGCAAGTTAACGACTTTACGGAAGCTTTTTTTTGGCTCGCCCGTCAAAGTTTTATAAGAAATAGTATTCTTATAATGTATAAATTCCATAAAATTATTTCTACACTTGAATATAAAGAAAAATTAGTCAATCGAATTGGAAATAATGTTCATTTCTAAAAATTGATCTTTTTAAATTGTAATTTGTAGACTTCACGTGTGGATTCATCAACTCGGCCAGTATCACCAGCTCAAACTGTAATGCTTAATAAATCAGATACACCTTTAATGAATGGAAAAGAAAACTCTCAACTACCTCCTCAACATCCGTTTAGATCATCACGAGATTCTAAATCAAATGATACAGAATTAATTGCACTACGTAAGGAACGTGATCAACTTTTAACTACAATTGAAGAGATGAAGTAAGTGTTTAGTTTTTAGTATTTGTTGCTTTCTACAAAATGGTTACATTTTGAATGTCTATATGTAGATGGACCTATGTTTTGATTTGAGTATTGTAGATATACAATTAATTGTAAACTTTCGTTTTAAACAGTTAATCAAATATCCAATAACTGATCAAAATAACCCTGTTTTTTGGATAGATTGTATTCATATTGTCCAGTCAGCTGGAATCATGTCATATTCCGTTATAGACCTTATATAGATGCTATCTTATTCTATGGAATAGACCATCTATCTATCTATCAACGTAATATGTTTGATAGTTTATGAAGTCGTTTCCTTTATTAGCAAATTTAATGAAAAATTAATTCATTGATTAAACCTGAAAGAATATTTAAGGTTTTTGTAGTCTCAATAAGATTATTGTGAAATATGTAGATTGAATTCCTAGGATAAAATATGAAGTATTATTTTCTTACTGCTTAAAACTATATAGTATGCTTCTAAAACTAATGTTTTTTTTTCTATCTCTGTTATGAATAACTTGTATCAGTAGTGATCTCTATTTGTTTTTTTTTTTAATAAAGACTTTCTTTGCTATCATGATAATCGATTTGTTGTATTAAGTTTCATATTCATGGTGTTAACATTTACCAGCTTGTGCGAAGAGTACGATAAAGAGTATTTGAGATGGGAACTCGGTCTATTGATCTGTTGAAGAACTGATGCTTCACCTTATTTGCATACATACTAAATTATGTTGACCTGTATTTAAATATGTCCAACTATACTATGAGTGTAGTTAATAGTTTTTGTTTTATCCAAAATCAAAAAAATGATATAATGCAACACTGTCACTCGATATCATCATTGGTTTTGCATGACAGCTGACAAATTTCATACGAAGCAAAGGTAGTTGGAAATGAAATTCACAAATTCCTACCTTTTTTTGTACTATGATAAAGATTCCTTTTGAAAATAGAGTAGAAATGTATTTTGGGGCACAGTTTTGGAGGTTTGCGTTTTTACACATTTGAAATCACCAATCAATCATTGTTAGACGACCATTAGAAACCTGGAAGCACTGGACGGCCGTTTCGTCCTAGTATGGGACTCAGCAGTGCGCATCCACGACTCCTGCTCCTCGCAGGATTTGAACCCGGGACCTTTGGTATTGTAGGCGAACGCCTTACCATCGGACCACTGCTGAGGAGTCCCATACTAGGATGAAACGGCCGTCCAGTGCTTCCAGGTTTCTAATGGTGGTCTAACATTGATTGATGATATCAAATGTGTAAAGAAATGTATTTACTTGATCGACTTGTTTTCCATCCGGTGAATGTAAATTTGTCTCATTTGTTCATTTTTTATTTCTTTAAAAAAATATAATATGGGTATATGAATTGTTTTTCCAATTTACAACAGACATTGTATCACAGAGTATGACCGTAGTTTACAGCATATGGTTGAAGAAAAAGCTTATAGAGAAAGAGAAGTTAACGTTCCAGTTGCTGATGTAGTGAAAGAACGTGATGAAGCTTTAGAAGAATTGGCTACAATTGAAAAAGCTTTTGGAGATCTACATAGACGTTTTGAGAAATCGAAACAAGTAATCGAAGGTTTTAAACAGGTTTGTTTTCCAATTGTTATAGATTTTGTTACTTCTAGTTTTTCGTCATTTGTATTGTTGATATTGATTTTGTTCATTTTGGTGATGATGAAGAAACAATATCTTCATTAAGTTGAACTTTTTTGAAAGACCACTACGTTGTTCTATTTGTCTTACCTCTTTTTAGTTATCAAAACTACTGTTTAAACAAAAACTTATTTAATATTTTAGTCAATTAAGTTCTATGCTCAGTCGACGTAGTCTTCTACAGGTTTACGCTAGTAATTAATTATCCCCGTATTTGTTTATAGTCAATTTAAGTATTAGTCAGCAATTCTGTGTTATATAGCGGTTAAGCACTCGCATGCGAGACCGTAGGTCCTGGGTTCGATTCCCGCGATTGGTGTTGGTGGATGGGCACTGTTAATGTGTGCTCCATACCATGATGAAGCGGCCGTCCAGCGCTTCTACGTTACTCTTATGGTGGTGGTCTAACAGTGATCAACTCATCATTTCAACAAAATTTCTTGGTTATCAAGTTTTTTGAAATACAGCAAGTATATATGATTCATTCCAACTAATCAAGCTGTCATCAATATGTTTTATTTTTTGGAATATTTCCTCCTGATGAAATCAATGTGCTTGTTAAACTAGAACGGACTAAGTATTATATTTCACTGTTGATTGGTTATAATAAAGAGCTATGTCATTAATTTTATTTGCTTCGTCAGTTTCGTGAATTGGGAACTACTACCATCTTAAAAGATCAATTAATTTGTTGTTGTTTAGTGGTTTTTGAGGGTAAGGGTAACATTAACTTTTCAGCCGTTTTCTTATTTACGATTGATTGATCAAGTGAGTAATGACCAATGTCATGTTTCATCCTAATACTTTAGTGCTAATTGAATTCTATCCTTTATAATAAATCAAAATTTTATGAACCTCATATTACACAGTTACTATTGTATCTAATAAGACGTAGGCTATCTGTTTTTATTTGTAAAATCTATGTATTTTATTGTCGATTATCTAATTTGACTGTACTTAAATTGTATTTCTTGAGTTTCTTTCTTAACTTGTCAGAATGAAGAAGCCTTAAAAAAGAGCATTGATGAACATAAAAGCTTATTACAACTTCAAGAAAGAAAATATTTAGCTTTGAAAAAACACGCTGAAGAGCAGCTATTAAAGTGAGTTACTGTTAGTAATATAAAAATACTTTTTTATATTTTGAGCAGTACAGTATGATATCGTTCGGTAGTAATTGATTTGCTGTTTATCTAGTTTAATTTCTATCTAGGTCCTGAGTAGTTCACTGATTGTTATGAGTTTGGATCTGAATTAATGACAGAAAGTAAATTATTTGAGCTCATCAACCACTTTACATGCATCAGAGGACTCATTAACTGAGCGAAACCCCAGCATGGATTCAGAAGGCTTGCTAGGCTCATCTGTGATGCAAGTGAGATGTCCGTCCACCAGTAAATGTGGGAGAATACTAGCCAGCAGTTCACTCTACTTAAAATTCCAAGCTTTTGACGTTGATGAAGAACTAAATTTTCATCGGTCGAGGTCATTGAGACATGTATTACCTACGCTCAACCAGCACCTACGTCAGTACTCGATGTGTACACGAATAGGCTGGAGAAAAGCTAGGGGTGGTGACACTAAAATATGGCATCATTTCATGAAGCTATAGACTTCTGAAATGAGACACGTTGGTAGGTGCAAACAACTTGGTTGGGGTCCATATGGTTATTGTAGCCAATGGTTGTTATGACTCAAAGCCGATCGTTCTAGTGTAAATGAATTCAATCTATCTTGAATTTTAACATTATCCGCCGATCCAGTTTTTATTCATGAGTTATACTGTTTACCTTTTTTTACCACCAGTGCTACAATCACTACTTCTGCTACTTTGGATTTGCCAAATGATTCATTACGTTGATATTAGTCACTGATTCAATAATGTGGTTCAGAATCATTTTTCTAGGACAGTACTAAGAACGACACACGAATATATATTTTTATGGAACAATTAAGAACATTTGCAGCTCAGGTGAATGATTTCGGTTGATTCTTACTTCCTGAGCTGAGTGATTCAATCATATAGCTTTAGTTATATGATTCCGGAAAACATCATTAGCCCATACTTCAAATAAAAGTGGGCTATTCGAATTAGTCCACATATAACTGACAGCTTGTTCTGTCAACATTGATCACATTGTCACTCAAATGTAGAAAAATTCGAACAGCTTACGTCTGTTTGAAATCCTTGCTGATGATATCGTCCAGAAGAACAGTAGAGGCTTCACAATTAAACAACTCAGTTCAGAAAACTAATATCCTCCCAAATCACCCACGTATTTACTGTCATTTGACTAAACCGTATATATTTATCAAGGATGAGTTGAATAGTCGGTTTTAATTTTCATTTTAAATATCTTTTCTTTTATATTTAAATAGAGTAAATCAAGACACAGAGAGAATAAAACAAGAGTATGAAACCAACCTAACTCGATTGCAGGCTTCATTAAGAATTTCTGAACTTCAAGTTAAGAGTCTTGAATCTCAAATAGAACGAAAAGTATGTGATCATTTATATTTCTATTTTTCCTCACAGAGTTTCCTATTGTAAACGTGAATTTATCATCACGATGGTCACTTTATGTCTTATACTTTATATGGTAACGATGAACTTTACTCCATGTTATTTGTTTTTACAAACCAAGTATAAATAGCTGCCTCACTCAAAAAAATTACCACTCATATCTGTACTAAGTGGTGGCGTGGATAACAAGCCAGCAGAATGGTCTATCGAAATGCTTTGCCTAGCGTTCCAGACGTCTTTAGAATTTAATTAACGTGCCTTCAACCTCACTGATTGTTTCCATGACTCCAGTGACGTGGATAAGATGAAACATCTTCCTGCAGTTGCTAAATGTAACTATTGCTTGAAACTACTAGTTGGTTCATACTGAAGGTTTTTGAAATTCCGCGAGCTAGCAATCTACATGTTTTATCCAGCTTACGATATACGAGAATAGACTGACGAGTTGTAAACAACCTGGAAACCTCACCGCTTATAAGTGCGACGTTTTGTGAGCCCCAAGAAATTTTACTAACCGTTTCTATGAAGTGGAATTCGGTAGTAGAGGCCAAAATTGTTTCGTAAGAACGAGTGGAATCCTACTTTCTTCATTTGTTCTAGGTCATTTTGGGGACAAGAGGAAGTGGTTAGATTTTATGTATCCTACCATTTCCAGGTAATTATAATCTTACGTCAGTGTAAAATGAAAAAATAGGAGCATAATACCTAGGATGGCTTTGTATGGTGTTGTTATGTCGCTATTGCATTGATTGGATATCGGTTTTCAGCCAGTTATCTTAGCTGACTATAATTGGCTGTACCGATCTGTTGATATTCCGTTGTTAGCATGTTTGATTATTGAATATATAGTGTGGTCTTATTATGTTTAAAAAGGTTGTAACTTACATACTAAGTACAGGTTTATATGTTAGTCCTTGAGCAAGATTCGAATATGCAATTTTAACCTGGGAAGCTGAGTGCAATAACCACTAAACCCATCTTGAAAAAACAAGTTATTGACGTTTTTGCTAAGTTGGAAGGCGGGAGTCATATGTTATTTAGTCATATTGTTTAACATATTAACTTACAGTAATATCTGAAATTATGAAAAGTACTTTTTACTTAGAATAACGTTTTAAATTTTTGTCATAATTGTTTTTTTTTCTGTTTTCTCTCCTTATAATCCTCTGCACTATATTTCATGATTTTATTTTTTCAGACTCGTGAAAACGAAGAACTCACTAAAATCTGCGATGAACTACTAAGTAAATATGGTGGACTAACATGATATCATCATAAAAAAAAGATTTAGATACACATATATTTATATACATATATATCTATGATAGCAAAGAAATTATGAGTTTTCGATTTATTTTATTTTCGAAAGAAAATTTATTTTTCCTATCTATCATCTATCTACTCATACCGTCTACTTCTAGGCACAGTGGAAGATGACAAAGTAGAACCAAAAGGAGATTATTGATGAAGATACCTTTCCACATATATACCTATAAATATTATACTCTAGGAAGAGTTGAACGATCTGGTTTTCTTTTTACTCTCATCTCTGCCTTCATTTTAATATGTGTATATTGAAATAGACATGTTACTTACTCTTACATAATTCCTGTGTCATTTGGCATATATATATATATACATAAGTTTATATATCTATTGAGTTTCATCGGTGTGTTTTGTGTTGTATATTGCTTTTGGGTTTTTTTTCTTGTATAGTGCCTGATGCATTTCCAAATCATTTTAATTATGTGCTTGAGAGCGAACAAAAGAGAAGGCTCAATGTGTTGATATACTTTGTTGTGTTTTTAACTTGTAAACTATAAATCTCAATTTCTGCAATATATATATATATATATATATATATATATATATATATATATATATATATATATATATGAGCTCATACATACACAGGAACTAACTAACTAATTGAAACTGCTATATTTAATCATTCAAGCAGATATAATATCACTAAAGTGTAATAACATCGAAAAAAATAAAATTTCACTAAAGTTTCTTAACTTTTGTATTGTTTGTAATACATATATATAGTGTTGAAATTTATTGGTGAAAAATTCATTCGTTTTAACTGACTTAGTATCGACTTACTTACTTAATTACGCTTGTTACACCCAATGGAGCATAGGCCGCCGACCAGTATTCTCCAACCTACTCTGTCCTGGGACTCCCTTTCCAGTTCTGTCCAATTATTGTTTACGCTTCTCATGTTTGTCTCCAGGCGTAATGTGTTTTCTGGTTTTCCTCTTTTCCTTTCACCTTGAGGGTTCCCAGTGAGGACTTGTCTTGTGACGCAGTTGGGTGCTTCCCGCAGTGTGTATCTCATCCACTTCCACCGCTTCTTCCTGACTTCCTCCTTCGCTGTTATCTAGTTCGTTCTTTCCCACAGTAGGTTGTTGCTGATGGTGTCTGGCCAACGAATCCGAAGTATTTTGTGTAAAAAATCGTTGATAAACACTTGTATCTTCTGAATGATGGCTTTGGTAGTTCTCCATGTTTCCGCTCCATACAGTAGAACTGTCTTGACATTTGTATTTGTCATAAATCTCTCTTTGTGAACCGAGCTATTCCTAGTGTTCCTTAGTGTTCTCTGACCACAATACACTCGAAAAGTCCCCTAATCAAAACATGATTGAACAGGAAAAAGATTAATCCAAATAGCAAAGTTAAATGAAAGTAAGAAGCCGAAGCGAATGCGAAATAGGAACAACGTTAACCTCATCATAGTTTTTATATGAGAAGCTCCTGGAATGTACTCTAAGTATCGACTAGCGCTGATTGGGTTAAATTTAGCCAATTAGCTTGCAGCTAACAACACGAGAATTTTCTAGAATGCTCTCCAAGTATCGACCAGGCAGTATTGAAAATTGTGACTTCGGTGTTTGTTGATAGTTGTTTTGATTTTCAGATGTTGTTTATTTCGATCATCGAGGAAATTTTAATGGAAACAGTTGGGTGTTTTTAAGCGCCTGGTCAGAATTTTATAATCTTAAAATATAGACGATTATTACTTACGTCTGTCTAAAATATGGATTGCAAGTTTCATACTTTACGTGAAAGATAATTTCATCAGATACATACTAAGCGCAGTATGTAACAAAAGGAGTCATTCGACAACAAACTCTGCCTCCCTCTCTCCTCTCCAGTTCACGATTGCCATTCATGACTGTCTACCATTCCCAGCGCAATGTGTTCGGTTTTGAGGATTCCATGTTAAGGCCTACCTCGTGACACAGTTGAGGTCTTTCCGCGATGTACACCGTATCCACTTCTAGTGCTTTTTCTTAAATTTCTCCTTTGCTGGAATCTGGTTTGTTCTCTGTCACAGTACGTAGTTGTTGTTGATAGTGTCTGGTCACTAGATCTTAAATATCTTGCGTGAACATCTGTTAATAAACACTTGTATCTTTTGAATGACCAGGTATCCTTCTTTCTAGTCTGTTGGTACTTGTTCTTCTTCTTAAATCTCCTGGAAAATGAGGAATATTTTCGCAATCGCTGCCACGTCTGCTTTCATTGCCTCTACTGAGAAGTTGTCTAATGACCATGCTGATCTCTTCGATCGTAGATGGTTTCACATAGATCTGGAGGTCCGTGGATGTTGCTTTGATTTTGGGCGGGTTCAGCTTGGGTTGTCGATTCAAGAGTTTTTTAAAGTGTTCCACCTACCTGTTTCTCTGTTCTTCAATGTTGCTGATTACTTTGTCCTCCTTGCTTTTCAGTCGGGGTTCTGGTTCACTATGCTTTCCAGAGAGCTTCGTTGTATAATGCAATTGTCTCACGTTTCCTTCTCTTGCAGCCATTTCTACTGTGGTTGCTAGATTTTTCACATTTACGTTTATCGGCTCTGATGCTCCTCTTCACTTGCTTGTTTACTTCTGTGTATTCAGCTTGTGCCTTGGTTTCCTCTGCTCTTGTTCGGCTGTTATTGATTCCTGTCTTCCTGTTCTTATTTCTTCAATTGTATCCAGAGTACCAACAGAGATCCATTCCTTGCGGCCCAAAACTTCATGACATCCTGAAATTATTGCTCCTTTAACACCTTTCTAGTTGTGCTCCGTGGATTGTTTTGTCTCTTGACACTACTAAATTCATATATACCTGATCAGTGATTACTCCTCTTATCATCACTCAACTGTCTCCATTCAAGAGCCGATTTCGTCGGATGCTTACCGATGAGTTGAATTTCTTGAGGATCTTAATGCCAATTATAGGTACGGATGCATCTGCTCTGACGCATTTTCATTACTTTGACCGAAATCCAAGGTTATTTTCGCTTGTTGTGCGTTTTAATGTCGGATTTATTTGCTGCTTTAAGCGTTAGTGTCGCGTCAATATTTCGTCGTTCATCGAAGGCACGACGCTTATTTCTTCTCTTCTGTCTACTAAAAAATTAAGCACCCGTCGTTCGGTCCTGGACGCGGAATTAACGACTTATTAGGAGTTATGCCAGCTGTCATAACTGCTACCGACACCCTGCGGGGTCGTTTCCCTATTATATTAACTTTTAAATGTGTAAGGTGGTCTATATTTCCTTGCTCTATCACCGTACGTCCGTTAGTACCAGCATATCGTAGGAGCTGAGCGTCTTCTGGATCGTGATCAGCTCTTGTCACTCGATCCAATTCGTGACCATTTTTGTAGTTTGTCGTTCCGAGTTAGATTCGTCAGCTTTTGGAGTAAAATACTAATCACTTTTCAAACTCTCCGATTTCATAATTTACTGAGGCTTGATGCATCTGTGGACTCGGTATTTCCGTTCTTTCATAAATCCAATCAGCTATTTCTGCATTATGATCTATGTCCAGATCTCTATCCATAAACGCAGGGATCTGTTGAACATTCTGCGACAGTCACCGGAGCCGTAGTTGATAAAATATGCCTCTTTTTAACTTACTGTCCCCTATTATGTTTCTCATGTAATTCTGCAGCTGCGATGGAGTCTAATCACTCGTTTGCATTTCATTGAGAAGCAAGAAAATCAGATCGACAATAATCATGCTAATAACAAATGATAAAATCTTATAACGCAGAGGAGACTTACTAAAGCGCAGCAGTATAACGATTGTATGTATAATGGCGTTACTCGTGATTGTTAATGTTGCCAAAATATGTTCAACAATGTTTATGAAGTAATTAACATGTAATGAAATTACGATAATCACAATCCAAAGTAATAATTCGTATTGAGATGGATCACATTGATTTTCGTATTTCGATTGAATCTCAGAAAGCTGAGTTGCGTTCCATGGTCAGGGTCAGTAATATTGTGGTCTCGTCCGATTCGTCGTCGGGCTCACCAATTATGTGGTGGCCAGTGTCTCGCTAGTTTCGTGACGGTCGATATCCGATGTGTTCTTAGACTTCGTATGCTGCTCGTCCAGACAATCGTTACTAAATAGTGCCTCATGGTTTATAAATCAGAAGAGAGAATACGAAGTGTGGAATGCGTTTATTTGGTATATCACAGGCGCACAATGATAAAATCAATATGCGATTGCCTAAGGGCAAGCAAGCAAAAGTGCGAGTTAGCAAATCAGCGAATGAATTAATAAGATTAAAATGTACATATATATACATAGGAAAATGCATAAGTCATCAAAATGTTTAAGAGGTTAGTATTAAAGCGAATAGTATGAATATGCTCGTGTGAGGTAAGCAATGTTCAGTCGTACCAGCCTATACAAACTAGATAATAATAAAAGCCAGTGGTAAATATAAGTAATTGCTGTACCAAATAACTCGGTTGAATAAATTAATGAAATATGAACAAATTCGAATGTATGTGGAGGCACCACACGGTAAAGTACTCATGATAGTCGGTTTTATTCACTGAACTGAGTTGAAAGACTCTCAAGGAGGTCTTTCAGTGTACGAACTCTGGTAACAGTTATAGTCTACAAATATACTCAGGCAACTGTCTATTTATAACAGTCACGAACTTAAAGTATGTGCAGGGATATCATCGGACACAACAACCTTCAAAGTCGGTGGGACGACTGAAACAAATAGACGTTTGTAGACAACCATTTTAAGACTGGTCTAACAGGAGATTACCGTTTGTTCCGCAACGCATTTTAAAATTGCTGTAATGTTTTAATGCAGATATGCGTTCATTTCTTTCTCTCATACTATCAGAAACTTAGTTAAATTTAAACAAATCATGTAAAAAATAAAATATATTTTGACGAAAGCCAATTCTTGTTAAGTAATATTACAGAATATGTGATAACATTACAGTATTATTGATGCAATTGTTCTAAGTTGTATAGTAAAAGATACAAGTATTATCTATAGTAAATTCAGTGATGACACTCAAGTAGAACAACAATAAAACTTATATTTAAACTTGTTACTAAAAACAAGTTGAAATCTTCTAAATAATCTTGAATGACAAGTACAAATTCCAAAAAAAAAATAATAAAGAATAATCTTCATAAATTGTAAATGTTATTTATTGTGTGTTTTTATTGAATTTCAATGTTAATCGTCTAATTCGTTCATTCAACTGATAGATTTCCTCTTCATCACTACTATGATTGAGTTTTAACTCATCTGATTGTTGATTTATGTTATTTGTAAGAGAATTGGTTGATTGATTTTCAATTTGTGACCATGGTCTACGTTCACGTTCAAATTCATTGTTATTGAATTGGAATTTAGTATTCATACGATATTGTCCAATTGGTTGACGTGATTTTATTCGAATATTATTGTTCTTTTCATTTATATTATTTGTTGATGAGTGCTAAGAAAAAATTCATACAAACAAATTGCATATTATTTGAAATGTTCAATGGTTTATGTAATTTGATCATTAGGAATTTCAAATATTTAAACTTTCATTGAATTATCTAGGAAGACTACGTGCTTATTACCAACAAATCCCTAGCTAATTAGGCTGAAATGTTTCGTTCTCATGCATAAACACCAACATTCATTTATTCTGCTTTCTATTTGAATCGACTGGATTATGAAGATGTCAACATCTGGAAGGAAGTACGGGATGCGGTGGACAGCTAGAAGGCAGCTGGACGATTTAGACTTCGCAGATGATTTGGCTCTTATATCACACATGCAAGGTAAGACGAATTTGTGTGCTGTACGGATGTAAAACTTGGCCGTTAAGAGTAGAGGACATTCGTAGGTTACTAGTCTTCGATCATAGTTGTCTCCGAAGCATTGCTCGTGTATCATGGGACAACCGCATAAGCAATGCTGTCGTTGGGAAACGAGTTCTAGGTAAGGATGGCAAATTAATAGATGCAGTAGTGAAACATCATCAGTTGAGGTGGTTGGGACATGTGTTACGTATGGCTAACCACCGACTGCCTCGACGAGCTATGTTTTGCAGTGTAGGAGTAGATTGGAAGAAAGCTAGGGGTAGCCAGACCAAAGCATGGCAGAAATCCATGAGGTCACTGACAAGTGGACTGAGTCATGTTGGTAGATGTAGGCTACCTGGTTGGGGTCCGCGAGGCGATAGTCACTGATGGTTAGAGACTTTGAACGACATGGCTCAGAATCATTTTCAATGGCAAAGGTGCATCCACTATTTGTGTTCTCTCTAATTCTAACCTTCTGCATTCCTCATAATCACTATCTTTCTCCTTCTAAATCTATCTTACTGAATTATACTTCTCGAATCAAATCTTCGCTCCCTAATCTTCTCCATTACTGCTAATACTTCTGTTATTGCTATCACTGTTGGATTTGAACTGACAGTTGCGTCTCTGTGCTGATGTGGTATGGCAACCTGAACTGCTGTACTTATGTACGAAGTTCTGCGTTGTATCTGTCTGCTAGGAATTTGTCAGTCAGATATATTTGACGTAATTTCATAAACCAAATAATTAGCAAATATCTTTTTAAGTTGAACAAATATTTTGGTTAAAGTATATCAGTAGTCCAATTAAATAGCTGTATACCAGGTCTAATATACTCAGTTTTCATCAACATATATTTTGTTTTGGATACTATAGTAACACTATCTTAGTGCCTAAACAGGAGAAGATGATTGTAAACATTGAAACTTGTGATTCAATTGTTAAGAAATCGGTAAGCTGTACTATTTGAAAATATAATGCGTGAAAAATTTTCAATTCGCTATAAAATATTTAATTCAGTCAATAGGTGAAATGCAATATCAATATAAACATATAAATAATTTACAACTAGTTATTTACTTCAAACAGTGATGTTGTAGTATGTGACATATCAGTAGACTTTGAAACACTATTCAATTCATCAGTATACTTTTTATTCGTATTTAATTTATTATTTTCTATGGAGTACTTAGATAATAAATTTGTAGAGTTGGAATAATTCAATTTGTTTGTATTTGAACGACTTCTTGATCGATTTCGTACTATTCTAGGATTTGATATACCATTGGAAATAAGATTCATCATGATATTATGATCATCTTGATTTGGATTCGGTTTATCTTCTACTAGTCGGTAGTTTTTATTCTCATACTTTGTATCTGGAAAAGGTAACAGAAGATAGATAGACGCCAGTATGAAATCAGTTAAACATTGTTTTCAGTTAGTCACAATTAACGTAGAGCTTAGCAAAAATTCATTTAAGCTCAAGCTGTTATATTACAACAGAATGAACAAGTGAAATTAATAAGATGTGTAGTGAAGGAATCACAATAATGCAGTAATAGTCAAAAGGAAACAGACTAAACATGGTGAGAAAACGTTGAGGGAGTTCCGGAACTCACGATCTAGAGGGAGATAAGGAATGAATAAATTTGAACCATTGTGACCGATTCTGAGCCACTCCAACTACAGGCTCCAATACCAGATTATAGTTATCGAGCAAACCTTAACCACGTAGTTTGTACATTTCAACATGAATGAACTGATACTTTATCTTGGTATAGCTGTCGTCAGTCCTCTTGCAACCTACTCGTATGCCAACAAGGTAGTCAGTGATTAAGCATAAGTACTACATTTCCAAACTACTTCCCTCTATAATGATCTACAATCCGATCAATTGATTTTAAGTCTTCACCGTCTTAAAATGTTTCATTCAGTGATTCCGCGATACGTGAGTAACACTGCCAAGATACCAAAACAATTTGGTGTCTGATTGATTTTCTGTTTCGCAGGTTATAATTTAATTTGACTAGATAAAGTCTAGTAATGATAAGCTGTATAAAAACATATATCTAGCTACTACTATTTGTACTGTTTCTATGAAAATTGAAGTGATTCGATTCGTTCAACAAGCATTTTCAAACAATACTGAATTATTGTTGTATTTTAATGTAAGCATAATACCTATTTTAATAACTACACAGTCTTAATGACTAAGTTTGTTATATTCCCGTTCAAGGAGAAACTTGAATATTGTCTAATAATGTATCATCATATGATATTAAAAGATAACTGTGTATATAATAGATAGTCTCATTTACACATTTAAAATCATTAATCAATCATTGTGTAGGCAGTAACTACCAAAGACAAATGGGTGATGTCGCGGAAAATCCGTAGATCAATCAGAGTTAGACATTAACACAGTTGGATGCCGGCCCAATGGTCCGATGGTTAGGTGTTCGCGCACAATACCGGAGGTCCTGGGTTCGAATCCTGCGAGGTGCAGGAGTCGTGGGTGCGCACTTCTGATGAGTCCCATACCAGGACGAAACGGTCATCCAGTGCTTCCAGGTTTCTAATGGTGGTCTAACAATGATTGGTTGATGATTTCAAGTGTGTAAAAACACAAACTTCCAAAACTCTGCCCGAAAATAATCTCATTTGTTTTTATTATTCACTTTGTTAATTATGTATTTTGAAGTATTGACTAATTTGAAAAGATTCTATCAAAACCTATTATAAAATATAGGAAGTAATTATTAAATGCCGATATTTCAAATCGGTTGAAAAACTTTTTCTTACCATCAATAACTTCAACTACTTTTCACTACAAATTTTTTTTTCCATTTTTTCAAAAAAAAGTTGTGTAATTTTTTAATTTTGGTTAATTTGCCGTTTGTTTGTTTATTTTGAATTTTTGTTACAATTTCTAAAAATCAGATGAATCAACTGTAGCTTAAATGAACTTAAGATGACCTAATGGAAAAAATCAGTAGTAATCATTGTAGATAACCTTAGAACATTTAATGTACATACATAACTAATCATTTAATAAAAAATTAATCAACAATGATGAAAGTTTGTTAAATAAAAAGATTTTTTTTCTAAATAGCAAAAGGTTTATTATTTTTATCAATATTCATTGATCTACTTTACCTATTTAGCTTTGATTATAATCGTGTGTTATTCTTGTTATTACTTAACTATATATATCGCTTACGCAACAACAAATGCAATAGAAGACGACCAGTGTAGCAGCAGCCTCTGCAAAAACAGGTCTCAACATACATTAAAGGAAAAAGTAAAATTCTCCGATACAACACAACATGCACCAACCAAATCACTCTTGATCGAGATGCCGTGGAGGACGTTAACACCTTGACATATCTGGGCAGCATCATCGACAATCAAGGTGGATCCGATGCAGATGTGAGGGCGCGGATTGGCAAAGCAAGGGCTGCATTTCTACCGTTGAAAAATATCTGGAACTCCAAACAACTTTCAACCAAAACCAAAATCAGGATTTTCAATACAAATGTCAAGACAGTCCTACTGTATGTAGTGGAAACTTGGAAAACTACCAAAGCCATCATTCGGAAGATACAAGTGTTTATTAACAGTTGTCTACACAAAATACCGCGGATTCGTTGGCCAGACACCATCAGCAACAAGCTACTGTGGGAAAGAACGAATTAAATAACAGCGAAGGAGGAAGTCAGGAAGAAGCGGTGGAAGTGGATCGGAAACACATAACGAAAAGCACCGAACTGCGTCACAAGACAAGTCCTCACTGGGAACCCTCAATGTCAAATGAAAAGAGGAAGGCCAAAGAACACATTACTCCGAGAAATAGAGAAAGATATGAGAAGAATGAACAAAAATTGGACAGAACTGGAAAGGGAGTCCCAGGACAGAGTAGGCTGGAAGAATACTGGTGGGTGGCCTATGCTCCATTGCGGGTATATATATATATATATATATATATATATATATATATATATATAAACTGAATATCCATGTATTTGAATCAAGTTGACAAAGTATCGATTAAGTCATGGAAGTCTTCCCAAAGAACATCAACTATTCATTACTCATCACCATTGAAACAGATTGCTTTCAGCTTTTTTTCTTTCATTTAACTTTTTATCACTTCATATTGAACTGATAGAAAATTTCAAATAAAAATTGGATTTTACTCAATGAATGATTGATTGTCTTTGCTCGTTGTCTACCGAATAAGCGAACAAAAAACGATTATATACACAATTTCATTGAAATAGGAGAAAAAGAAACATTTTTATTGATTATTGGTCATGAATGATATTGTCAATTTTTTAAACTAAATATCATCTCTTACTTGCGCTATTCAATGTATCATTTCGATTTAATTTTTCCAATCTCTCTTTATCCATTTGTTCATAGTGTTTTATTTCCTAAATTTCAACAAATCAATGTAAAAATTTAATGTAGAAGTTAGTTTATTGAATAATATTTTTTAGTTTAATTTTAATTTCATTGAATGAAAAGTTAATTGGTGTTTGAATTGGAAAGTAATCACTCAAATTATAATTTAGATGGTGATAGCTTATTGACAGTGGATTAACTTAAAGTTATTGTTTGCGAAACTACTTCAAACCCCAAAAGATTTGAACATTTATTTCCTCTAAGCTTAATATTCCTTACTAGTTGATGTTTTCCACTGACAGTTCACTTGTAATGAGTTTTGAACTGAAGCTATTCATCTAATTAATGCGTTAGAATCATTCATCGATTAAAAATGTATAATTTAATGACTCAAATAAAAATGAATTCAGTAGAGTTCAAAGCCGCCTGCCCTACACACATTCTAATTCAAATGTAGTACTAAACAAATGAGTAATGCATTTTGTAAATTTATCATTGGGATAAACTGTTTATAATTTGATTTAGTTTGATTTTTAGTTATATGAGTAGGGTGAATTAACATACATCGATCAATATTTTCTGAACCAGACAACATACTATGCGTCATTATGAATAAAAGGTATAATTTAGCTTCTCTTTTATTTCTAATTTTGATTCATTTCTATTGGTTTTCATTTCCTTACTCTCAAAGTAATGTTAGCTCAGTTTTATTTGACTTGAAATGTTTGCGAAAATTACTGTTGATACAATTATGTTTTTTTCTTGAAGCTAAGTTTTTTGTTAAGTTATTCAAGTATTTGTGAAATAAATTAATAACTTACTTGTTCTATAGATTTCATTTTCTCAAAAAATAAATGAAATGTTTGTAGGCACTCTGTAATTCGAAACTGTGTTGGACATTCACAGAAGTACTGTGCACATTCTACCTCTAATTCTTGAAGTTTATCCATTTGTTTTTGTACTTCACTTAGTTCTTTATTTGATTGCTGTAAAAAATTGATGGCGCAATATTTTTTAAAATCATTTTATACTACTTAGTTGATATGTGAATAGTTAAAATTTATTGTCAAAAGTTTCAACACAAACTCTGCATTGATAAATAATTCAAATTGTATTGAGAAGCTGAAATCTGTACAATTGATTAAAGAGAGAACCGTTGAAAACTTGTGCAGTGAACGAAAACGTCAAGACCGGATTCAATATTGATCTATTGAAAGCAGACGCAATTTACTAACGAAATATGCTGAAGATTTTCAGACTTCCATTTGATCGTTCGGTGCATTACAATCCGGCACTTTTCCCCAGTAGCAATTTCTGGGTGACACTCCGCCTTTTACTTCTTATAAGCTACGTTGCCAGTAGTAACCACCCTACCAGTACCAATCTAGAGCTGCTGATTAGAAGTTAGCTGAAAGACAAAAGCTTTTAGCATTGACAGAACGAAGCGTTGATATTTTCCAGTGGCCAGTAATTTAATTATCTCATTGTTACCTTCAGACTATTTAGAATTTATCTGCCACTTGTCACGATATGATAAAATGCTCATAAGCTTAAATATTCAGAAACGGTTATTACTTATTGTCGAAAATTGCCATTACACATTCTTTTCTTGGTTTAACTTTCCATAAGATTCGATTTATGTGGAAAATAAAAAATTCTGCATCCATAAAATTGGTTAAATTATGTTGGACTGACATAATTGAATAGTCGACTAGCTTTCCGTTGTGTTAAACATTTAAAGCTCGAAAAAGACTTTAAATAAGTTGGCTTTATTTAGATATCTAGTTCGAAGAATGAATCACTGGAAAATATGTTCCGGAGAAAAATCGAATAGGTGCTAATTATTTGATGTTGTTGATGAGACAACAGCAGAAGAGGTATTGAGAAGAGTCTATCGATATGTCCTTATTACAGTCAACTGTAAGTTGTGAATATATGATATGTATACTAATGACAGGATGTGAAAAAAATATTTTTGGGACTGTCATCAATATCTTGAGTTCACTTTTCTCTTTGCTACTTGAGTTTATTGTACGTAAACTTACAAAAGTAATATATTTATTACAAGTTACATATCTGGATTTTAGCTATACATCTTGATGTATCACATAGCTTTCTTGATCGAGTGACACGACACTGATGTACTCATTAAGATTGCAAAACTAAAAACCGTTGAATGATCACCTTTGTGATACCGCAAAATAATCCGAGCTCACCACTGTGCATACTCAAGTTTCATTTTGTTTGTAGTCGTTTATTCTCTGTCAAAGTAATCGGATTGGTTCGTTTCTCAACTAAGATAATATGAACTAATTAGAATACGAATAGCTTAATACATAACTAGATATTAATCTTTACAATTTATAAAAATCAAGTCAAATGTTTCATCAGTTCTAGGCATAAATGAGACTTACTTCGATAAATTCACAAATTTTTGATTGTTCTCCAAATATTTCTGAATCAAAATGTTGAATTATATTTTGTAATCTACTTTTGAATCGGTTAATTTCTTTTTTAATAAAGTCAAGTGATACACTGAAAATATCAGTTTAATAAAATTAAATAAAAATTGTAAAATATTAATAGAGAAAATAAAATGCATTAATGATTAGCTATTTGATAATATGAATGATATGCTTGAAAGCTATTACGAGTTCACTTAGCTCGGTAATTGAGAGCGAATTAATGATACAGTGACACGATAGACCATTCTCATTCGATTGTCCCGGCCCTGCTAACTATATCAAGAAGTCTTGATAAAGTGTATTGTACAAGCACCTAGAAAATATGAGGTCCACAAGCACACACATCATAGAAACTTCCTTGAGAGAGCGACCAAAAATAGCGCACTAAAATAATATACCAGCCAATCACAGTCGAGGAATTTCCGGGCGGGAAATGCAATCTCAAAGTCAACCGGTCAGCCCGTGAAAACACAAAATCCAAAATTACGAGCTTTATCAAGTGAGTTCTGGGGATCTGACATCCCCAACAATGAGATTATAGATGGCATTATTATTGAAAACATTTGTAACGCATTATTTTTAATGTACAGTCTAGCAATATTTATGTTATTCCTGTTCAAATTGAATAAAATTATACAAAACTGTGCATTTCCACTATTGTTACTACAATTAATAATTAGTGTATGCTATGATTGAATTGACATACATACATTCAGTACAATGTCATCACAGAAAACTGTTTTTACGAATACTTTCTAATAGTTAGCATTAATGATTCAATTAACATTGAATTTTCCTATAATGAGAGTGACACCTAATTTGAATAGTTTTTTTCCTGATCAACTTACAAATAAATGCTCATTAGTTTTACTAGTTCAGCAAATTGATGTCTATGATTGTAGAAGAATAGCTGTGTGAAACGAAATAATTCCCTTTTCAGAAGTGGTTTTAACTGTCAAGATATTTGAAGAACTATTAAAATAAACTGATTGTTTATGAGAAACATTTAATGATTATGATATGTAGTCAGGATGGATGAGTAGAGAAAGTTGTAGTGTATTTTAGAAGTAGTGGTGAGAAATAAGAGAATAAGTATTTTAAAATAATCGTTAAGATTATAAATGCATTTTATGGTGAAACGTTTCGAATTTAGAATCAAAACAATCATTATCTTTCGTTTATTAATTACTCAATAAATAAAATTGATGATGAAGATCACAAATACAGAAAAAAATTCACTTAATTAGTTTATTCAAAGTGATTTTGTAAAGATTACTTTAATTTGTAGACGATTTGTATCACTAATTAGTCTCAGTTTAAAAACTACTGAGAATCGATGGACACTGAACAGCTATTTCATTCTTGAATGGGACATACGAGCACTGTATATCCATAACATTTTCATAGATTCAATTCTGAACATTCAGGTTTCACAGCTAGTGCTGAGTCACTGAAATGGTGTAATGTGAGCTTTAATTCATTCATGATATATTGAGATGATCATTGGATTATAGTGGTGATTGAGTGCAGGGATAGGGGCGCCCCATTCCACTATAAAATAGTCTTCCAATGTTTCTTGGTCTTTAATAGCATTCTAAGTCAGATCAATCTATGACAAATACAATGGACACTTAAGTAACTACTCATGAATTTTTTCTATTGTTTTTATTTTATTATACTGAAGATTTTTAATGGTTTCACAATGATTTGTTAATTTATATGATTTATTTTATGGAAGAATTCACCAATACACATAGATATAATAACGGAAATTATTTATGTTTGACTCTTTGAAATTTTTGAATGAAAAATTCCGAATGTCAACAAAAATATTTTATGAAATATGTGCAATACTTACTCTGATGCTTCTTTGAGATGTGTCATTGTGTCAGCAATTCTTAACATTTGTGGATTATTCATTTTAAACTCCTTTTAATTTAAGTAATAATAAATTAAGTTAGAATTTTTAATAGAAAATCGTTCATTTCAGTAAAAGGTGCATGTCGGTAATTAAGTTCATTTGCATTACACTCATACAATATACCGTTTTAACATGATTTTTCTGCTTTCAAAGTATTGAGTCTGTTTCACTTCAAATCATGTATAGACTAATTGATTTTAGAGAAATTTCAATATTGTTTGAAACATATTCTCATCACGGACTAATATCAGTTGAAGAACTGTTGGAGCATCGTGGTGTATGCTGGTTTCATTGATTTATCCTAGTTTACTAATTTTAGCAGTGCTTATATGTGATTAAACAAGAGTTAGGAACAAGGACCTCAAACTACATTGAAATGTGGCATGGCATATGGTTATAAGTTGGAATCGATTGGTGACTTTTTCCTTTTATGTATGAGATCTGAATATTCTGGGGTGGAACCCGTGGTGAATGATGCAAGTACACTACTGTCAGTTTAGAATCTTTGTTGAAAATAAATTAGTTACCTCTACTTTACATAAAGTCTTACAGCTGACTTTGTTTAACAGTGGGAATAATTTTTATGGGCAAGGTTGCTTTCGATTGCTTTCTTATTTGATGACCATTTACTAAAACACTTAAGATATACACATATGAATAAATTACTTTATATCTTTATTCTCATTGTTAAATTCTTTCATGCTTTTAAATGATCGGAATGCTAAAATTATTTTTTACCAGTTTTAGTCAGGAATAGTTCAGTTAACGGGAGGATAGAGATCTATTGAGATTTCACTTGTTAGATTTTATTTCCTTTGATTCAGAAGCTCTGAACATTTTATTAGTGAATATTGAGATATTGATCTATAAGCAGCAGTTAATAAGATCAAACAAAAGAGCCCACATCATCTGTTACATGCTCATATCAAGAAGAAATATGGTGTTGACTCCTGTACACATTCTACGACAGTTTATGGCCACTGCTTTGGTATGTACAAAATTTAATGGGCCTTCCCACAGATAATCCACTCAAGGAACCAAAAGAAATCATTCATTTCTGCAGTTCATTACGGAGTTACTTATGAGTCTTTATTTCATGATTTTCCGATAATTCATCTTGTGGTGCGAGCTACTTATAAGTAGTATATGACGTGAGTGTCAACGTAATGTCTAGCAGCAGCAGATGGGGGAAGATCAAGAAAGGAAGAGTTAGAACACAATGGAATTTGTATGAAACGCATGAATAGTGGTAATGGATTGATGTTTTGCAACAGGAACAGTCCAGTTCGATATGATGGACTGATATTTTACAAAAAAATAACGATTTACGATATGGTTTTCCGATTTTACTGAGTAACTCTGTGTTCTCGTTCGCTACAATCTAACCGCTCATCTAAATTCATAAGACCAAGTCCGCTATCTCCGGGGCACACTCTTTTGATACGTCTGTTAACCCTAATACAGCATAAGCCGCCTACCAGCTAGTTATTTTTTCAAGTTAGCGCATTTCTAGACAGTTGGATTCCCATTGGGTGGGGTCACTAACCCTATGCCCACCCCTCCTCCTTTATCCTGGTAAGGGACCGACAGTAACCTCAGAAGGGCTTCAGATGGAGTTTGACCAATTCATTAGGTGTTATATATTCAGGTTAAAATATCGTTTTTCAATGTATTAATAGTTTACTTTGATTCACTATTTATCTAAGCAGCAGTAAAATTATTGGGCTTGAAATATATATATTACATAACAGTAATTGAATTCATTCAAGTGAATTACCTGAACAAGAAAATGTAATAGAGTGATTTTCGGATCGTTTGATCGAACTTCAGAAAGTTTTAGTAAGCTGGAAATTTTGAAACCAGATGCTGATCCAAGACTGTCACCCTTGAAGGGATAAAATTAAAATAGTATACGTAAAATATCTATTAGTATAATAGTAGCCGAAAACTAAAATCATCCCTTAAATTTGTTTACCTTACTTAATTCCGGATAGTTGAAGTTTACGATAAATGTTAAAAGCTACTGAATGAATCTTTAGTTTCTTTCGCCTAATACAATTACGAACTTGTGGCAAGCCGAATCTCGAGTGAATTTCACTCTATTAAGAAACATTAGCGAAGTCGGTAGATCTGTGATACCTCGATACTGCATAGTTTCCTTAACCTGGAATAACAGTTTAATTCAATGTGTTTTGGTACTACTTTCCTCTTAATACTGCCACTCATTGGTTGAGAACTTAGAACGAAAAGTATTAATGAGACATGTATATATTCAACTAAAGTGATCAAAACTGATGCAAAGCGTTATTAACCGAGTTTACTGAGTACCTTAGGTACTATAAATAAACGAATCAAATTTAGAGGTCGCTTGGTCAAATATCAAAATTGAGCGATAAAGAATGCTTCAAAACATTCTTAGGCCGATTATATAACTTAACACTTGATAAACCAATTTTGATTTCTAAACAGCAGCAGCTATGGAACCTGAAGAGAATTTATTGAGAAGAATATTCTTTGATTATATTATCAGCGTTTTATGTATGAAACACTTCAGTAACTCATCTTTCTTTAGACAACAGAAACAACCATTATGCATTGTTTCAAATTTATTAGTTTTGACTTAATGGTTGTTAAAAATGGTGTATACTGATATTGCCGATGTAAATTTTCGATTTTTACGGTATCATTTTGGAGCACTTCTGTGTCACTTAAGTGTTTTGTGTTATACATTATGATTTCGCGGCGTGACTCATCGATACAGTAAGCGTCAAAGTCAACACATCATGATCCCTAAATCTTAGTTTATCTCGAAATGATAGGGATTTTATTCGTAACTGGTAGTAGGACAATACGAGGTGTTAATTGTTTTACGAAAGGTTTTGATTCTGTATGATGTTAGGATTGGTTGTAGTTCTTTCTTTATATGTGTGCCTTGACGATACAGTAGACATTATGATCCTCAATGATTAGTTTATTCTTTTTCGTAACTATAATAGTCTGTATTATAAATGAAGTTGAAGTTGTTTTGATAGTCGACTATATTGAAAATGATTAATAAACAAAAGTAAGAAATCCCAAGTGAACTTGATCAATTTTGTAACGCAGTAAATAGAATTCTTGTAAATTGGAAAAACTTTGTTTCACTAGAAACACATAATTACATTCGAGTAACATGTAAGTTATCAGTTTAATCATAAATCTACTGAATGATTTTATAGACAACTTATTTCTCAATGGCTTCACTCCTCTTTCCTTGATAAAACTTTATTTCAACAGCACCCAAACATGGGGCACTGGTTGTGCTTAATTACTGACTATCATTACAACATTTCATTAGAACCAAATAAATAAAAATGGACAAATCACCAATGAAATATTCTTACTTTATTCATATAATTTCCAATTTCTAAAACAGTTTGTAGTAAATCACAAATTAACGGAGATGTTATTATTTCTAAATATAAAAGTAAAAGAGGAAATCGATATGAAATTAATACTGGATTCTTCGTTTGTTTACTGTTCACAAATTATACAATCTTTGTAAACATTGTCTTATATTTGTTTGGATTGCCAGATAACTAACTACCTGTTATACCGCTGTTATTTCATATGAGGAAGAGAACAATTTGAATAGGCAGCTGTAATCTTACACACAGTTTTGCTGCCACTTACCAAGCGACTAAAGAGAACGAATTAGGTGTCTAATGGAAGGGTTTTAAAGTGATCAGTTTATTTAACAATGATATTTGTTATGGACTAGTTTCAGCTGTCTTTTTCTTGCTGCAGAAATTCTTAGAAGCGTGAATTAATAACGCTGACCTCACTGAAACTCATGACCTCCAGGCATCTCCAGGAGTAGTTGAATATTAAACTACTAGGTTGATATCATGAATATACATTATGTAGGAATCATTTATTAGGATTAAACAACTGAACTATGTTCTTTGCTCTATAGCGGTTCTTTAACTCAAGTTAAAAACTGATAAATAATGAATACTTATTCTTTGCATCATATACAATACGCCCATTATTTGTTAGTGTAAAACTACATTAGTACTTTATACGCCCATAAATAGCTAAAGTAATGACAAACTTCGGATACTTTTAATTTTCAGTGGTAAATATGATTTGATTCACATGACTGTATCATTTCATTTGTTCTGTAATTTGTTTTTTGGCCCATAAAGAACGTTGTAGACTTTGCTCTCTTCATTAGAAAATGCATCAAGCTAGTGAACACTGTTTGTCATGAATTGAAATTACAAAACAGAATTATATTATCATTATGATTTGTTCAAAACAGACATCTGATGCATAAAAGATGTCATAATCTATTATTTCTCTATAACACTTCTCTATTTCACAAAGATCATGTAAAAAATCCTGACATCATAAAATCGCTCAACTGTGGATGTTTAAAACATCAATTTTTATTTAGTTTCGAATCAGTAATACTCATTCATTACTTATTATTTTTATTAAACGTAATTCTGTAGATGGAAAAGCAAGATTCTCCGATGCAACACAACACGCACCAACCAAATCACTCTTGATGGAGATGCCTTGGAGGACGTTAACACATTTACATATCCGGGCAGCATCATCGACATTCAAGGTGGATCCGATGCAGGTGTCAGAGCGCGGATTGGCAAAGCAAGGGCTGCATTTCTACAGTTGAAAAATATCTGGAACTCCAAACAACTTTCAACCAAAACCAAATCAGGATTTTCAATACAAATGTGAAGACAGTTCTACTGTATGGAGCTGAAACTTGGGGAACTATGAAAGTCATCATCCAGAAGATACAAGTGTTTATTAACAGTTGTCTACACAAAATACTTCGGATTCGTTGGCCAGACACCATCAGCAACAATTCCTAGTGGAAGAGAACAAACCAGATTCCAGTGGAGGAGGATTTCAGAAAGGAGCGGTGGAAGTGGATAGGACACACACTGCGGAAAGCATCCAACTGCGCCACAAGACAAGCTCTCACTGGTAATCCTCAAGGTAAAAGGAAAAGATAAAGGCCAAAGAACACATTACGCCGAGAAATAGAGAAAGATATGAGAGGAATGAAAACCGGTTGGACAGAACTGGAGAGGGAAGCCCAGGACAGAGTAGGTAGGAGAAAAAAGGTCGGCAACCTATGCTCCATTGGGGGTAACAGGCGTAAGTAAGTAGTAAGTAGGTAATCCTGTAGATAAACTGAGATTTGGTTGCATGTAGGGATTATATGATATAAATGAATGATTACTATTTAAAATGTCTACTATAATATAATTAATTTTATCATGCATGAATGAAATGAAATTACCTTGACTAGTTTTCATTACATTTTCTAATGATGATTTTATCCAATTGATAGTTGGTTGGAATTCTTCTTTCAATAACATACAATCAATTTTATGATAATATCTATTTTAATAAAACAAACGATTTAAAAGAAATAAATTTTTTAAAAAAAAAGCATGATGGAATTAATTAGCAACTGAAATAAATTTACTTTTATTAGTTAATCATTCCATTATCGTGTTCAAACAATCAAAGCTTCACACTTAAACCATCCAACCGTCGGAACAACACTGACAAAAATATAAATTTTAAATAGAATTAAAATCTTATTCACCATTTCAAGTATGCCATACAATACAGGAAGAAGTACTTTTGTGACAACACGAAAGATGATAAGTTCAATATCGTTAGAGTAATGACAATGTACAACTAAATAGTTACAAATTAGAAGCAAACTATTATTCTATCGGTGAGTGATCTCAACAATATCATAATCTAAATAAAACTGAGTACCTGAATCACGAAACACCAGCTCTGATAATCATTTATCGATCGTAACTATGTATTATACAAAATTGATCAACATAATAAATAAGGTTTCTTATTAATTTACTGATTCGTCATTCAAGAAATTGATCAATCGAGAAATGATAGCCGTTTTTCAGGAAGATAAAAGTAAATAGTTTTAGTTCACCGATGATAACATGGAAATACAATGACATATGAAAATACAGATTACATTATTTTGTCATTAATTTAACAAAAGCATCTTCATCAAAACATAACTTACTTTGGTATTCTAACTAAATCATAGAAAAATCTTTCAGCAGGATCCAAATAATGTATATTCCCTTGAAAAGTTTTCAAACATTTTATTTCTTGATCTGTTGGAAGTAGTTTAATCAAATCTTTTAAACGTTCTGAACCGATTGAACTACCATCACATTGATTAATCAAATCGAGTAAATTTATGTGAATATGTCGAAATTGACGTAGAAATATGTTGATATTCAAACAACGTTGACTATCTATTAAGCTGGGCTTCAATTAAAATATAAGATTTTTTAAAAATATGTGACGCGAGGAAATAAAACGTTTGCTACTGATGAGAATTTATATTTATTAGAGAATGGTTAAAATTTACGATAAATATAGTTTAACCAATGTGAAAAAAACTTCTCTGGGATTTTGTTCAAGGTTTCATTGTGAACGCTTAAGTTTTAAAGGAGCTAAAAAATCTCATTTTATAGGATAAAATAAGTTATTACATTGGATTCCATCTTACTATAAATTACATTGTATTCATTGCCGCTATACGTTAGATATATCACAAATTCATTCTAGTTTTAATCCTTTTTTTCACTTCAAAAGCTATGAAACTGAGTACATTAAAAATAGCTAATGAATGTGTACGGTATTTTATCATTGTTACAGATGTAATGATGCAAAGGTTTGCCAGTCGAATGGTTTTTGTGGTATTTCATTTTCTATTGGGTGAAGTAGGCTGAGAAGATGTTGTAGACAATGACAGCTTCAGAATTAAACCAAACAGCTTACAGAATATAACAACCAGCAGCAAACGTAATACTTTTCTATCTAACATTATTTAGTAGTATGTAATCTTGACTTTTGTTATCTTGTTAAGAAATTTGACTTATTGAATGAATTTAATTAAGGCTCAATGATGAATTAACTAATACAACGGCTTGAATATGCGATTCAAGTGTTTCGTTTACTCACTATTAAATAGATTAACTACTTCGTAATGGATTACAAGTGAACTTACTCCATCCTTATTGTTATTACTTCAAGTGTCGATACTGCCTGCTGTCGGTACTGTTTGCAATGCATGAAAATTTTTACGTGCAAGTAAGAATCATTACGAATTCGTCCTAATAACTTTGTCACTCAAGTAACTGTCAAGCGAAAGAGAAACTTGTGTCTTTTGAATCACTACACATTGTTCAGCGGTGAAGTTATCCTCGTTGGTAAGATTCCGAATCGCCTATAAATCAGCTAAGATTATACCATCTGTTGTAAATCGAGGTAGTAGAAAGTTTTTATTACAGTGACTTATTGTAAATGCTCCTTTAAAATGGATATGAACCAATCGTATATATATATTTTTTCCATTAGAGTTATGGAGATTAGTGTTTTTTTACACATTTGAAATCATCAATCAATTATTGTTAGACCACCGTTAGAAACCTGAAAGCACTGGACGGATGCGCACTGCTGATGAGTCCCATACCACGACGAAAAGGCAATCCAGTGCTTCCAGGTTTCTAATGGTGGTCTAACAATGATTGATTGATGATTTCAAATATATATATATATATATATATATATATATATATATATATATATATATGATGAACATGATGACGATTACCTCATGTTTTTGATTAAACTCCATGGTACGAGAAGATGAAAGTGATCTTCCACGTATAGAATAAGAATTGTCGGCATCACGTAGTTTAGGATCGGAATTTGTAGGTACCATTAAATTATTTTCATGTATGTGTTTGTCGCTAGAGAATTTCTGATGAAAAGAGTCATGATATGATCTCCTTTCAACTGTGTGTTCATCAATAGAATTTGGTTGGAAAAACAACTCTGAGTTTGCTGATATTTTAATTTCAGGATTTTTAGCTGAAAGTTTCTGCTTTTGACTAAAAAGGATATTTAATTTACTCAGATTAATAAAATTTCTTGATTTTCTGCTTATTGTTTCATTATGTTCAGAAGTATTTGTACATAATCCATTAGTATTATTCCATACATTAATATATTTTGATGTATAGACTTTAGTCCAACGAAACGGTTTTAACTTGTGTATATCAGATTCATTGATATTTGCATTGCTTATTATATGATTGAATGCAATTGGATTTTTCGTTTCTTCATGATGAGAATGTCTGTTTGCGTTGAATGCATTATTTGATACTGATGTAAATGATACATTTGATGAAGGAGAAAACATTGCTAAAGGAGGTGGAGGAGGTGGAGAAGGTGAACTGATTGATGGTAGGGTTGATGTCGATATTAATGTTAGTTGTGAATCCAATACAGAAGAGTTACGATTAGACAAAGATGAATGTGTTGATTTATTAGTGGTGAATGAACTACACTTCGCTAAGTTTTCAAATGTATTCATGTTTGAAGAATTTAAATTTGATAATTCCAGTTGTATCGTAGATTTGATTTCGTGCTCTTTGGGTTGTTTCTTAACTTCTTCAAATGGACAGATTTTTTGGTTGAGATTATTTGTTGGATGTTCAATTTCCATTTGTTTGTTTAAATTCTCGTTATCGGAACATATCGATTCAAAATCGCTAGATGATGTACTTGTACACATCTTATTAGCATTATGTCTATTTAAATTCCTAACTATAGCTTGATCAATTTTCAATGTTGGTAAACTAGATCTATAGCATTGTGAAAATGACTGATATGTATGTGAAATATTCCATGGGTAGTGATTATATTGTATGAGGTTTGATAAATCTGATAAACTTTTACATTTCTTCATTTGTACAATAGATAATGTTTTAAAATGATTAAAATTATTTTGATGTATTATTTTACTTGAACATATTAATAGATGACAATATTCAATGATTTCTTTCCATATTATAATGATATAATATGTATTGTACATGTACAAAGGATGTACATGTTCATTTTTGTGGTAAATAAAATTGTTTTTTAATAAAAGTAATGATTTAAATAAATGTTGCAGAATTAATAGAAAATAATATTCAAGTAAACTGTTTTGTTTTAACTGAAAAGGGGAAAAAAGATTGATCAATAGACAATTCGATAAAATGAACAAGGTTTCATAAGCAAAGAAAATAAGTTTCTATTTTCTTAAAAGTTTGAGAACTCTACTAAGAATTTGTTCTGTGTCTGCGTACCTACATAGCACTTTTCGAGGTGAACACCACAACTCAAATGTAAGTATAAAGATACTTTTAGTAAATGATTATTCTTTGTGAACTAGCAGTAGTAGTAGTAGTAGTAGTAGTAGTAGTAGTAGTAGTAGTAGTAGTAGTAGTAAATATTTAGTGTGAGTTTAGCATAAAGATATTATTTTTCCTATGAAAACATTTAATAAATTCCTTTTCATATGTTTTTTAGTTGACAATATTAAAACTTAAAATATAATTTTCATAAATAATATCGTCTACATACTTGTCGACCAATTTCGTTATCAAACTCTTCGTTCATATATCGATAAATATTTGTATGTAATATTAAAATGATATCATATAATACTTGTGACAAGTTGAACATGCACCGATCTGTAGTATTGACAAATACCATATAGAAGCCCACGTGTTGATAAGCAATTCGTGAGGATTTTCGCAAAGAAAGTTTGTTGTGCAACAACAAGATTCTTTGCCTTGTAAGAATCAACTATAAATGGATCATTCTACCATATATAAAAGACATTTCGGAACAAACAGCACGACTACTGTAATCATTTGGTAAAGGTGTAGCACACTAACCAACAGAATTACTTCAATCAATCCTATGTAGACCAAAGGACAAAATGACAAAGGAAGAAAAACCAAATATCATCTACAAAATGAATTGGTAAGATTGTGAAAAACACTACATAGGACAAAGTGAACATCTTCAGCTTCGTTTGCGTGAACATCAATCGGCAATCAAACACCACAACATTTCTTCCCTTACAGCAATACATACCAACAACTACGGACGTACGTTCGATTGGAACAATGTTGAAATACTGGATAGGGTGAGCGCAAAGAACACTAGTGAATTTTTAGAAGCTTGGCAGTCAGGTCAGTCAGCAATCAACAACCAAATCGACATTGACCCAGTTTGTGAACCAATCAGAAAAATCATGGACAAACATAGTATCAAGAAACAGATCAAAGAGCGGGTAAAATCGAAATAAAGATGCAAACAATGACAGGTTTAAGTTCAATAACTACCGGTCAAGATCGAGGTGAATACCACAAGCTACCGGTCAAACATGGAGAAATTCTAATGCTTGACTTCGATCTGGAGTTTGTGCTGATGATGTTTTTCATAAGAACAATGAAAGCTTCACAACCAAAACATTCAGCTCAGAGAGAACGAAACTCCACAACAAGCATCAACATCAATATCATTCTAAACGTCAAATCCTTTATTTTGATTTTAGAGCAGATGTAAATACTTAATTTACTTCATTGAATAATCACTTTCGTTATAGAATAATCTTCAAAATGGCAAAAACAGTCTCAATTTTTGATCTAACTGATCCTTAAACTCATCTGATCTGAGCTTAAATAGTCATCAGAAAGTTAAGCTATTCGGTTCTTCGAGAACTATGATTGGGAAAATAATTATAACCAAGACTTTTTGGTGAGAAACAGATAAATTCTGAAAGTGAATTATAAACTGTGTTATTTTGATTATTAACACGTCTACTTTCAGATTATTCGAGATTCAATAACTCACAAATATTTGATTTCGAATATATGCTGAATCGTTTAATTAGGTCAGATTTTTTAACTTCACATTGTTTAACAAAAGCTGTATCAGATACCATTATAGATAACTAGAAGGTCATTTATAGCGCGATACAATGATATGATTACAGGAAATTCAAATAGTAAATACACTCAGTTACTTCGATAATAATCATACTAATGAAAGTGACAGAATAATACTCTGTTCTCAAGCCCTTTTTAGTATCATTTTTCTAAGTATCATGTGTTATCATTCAGTAATTTGTTGAAATTATGTGAATGATAAGCCGATTTCAACTAACATTGGTTTAGATCCCAAGTGGAATAAGAAGCCTTAGCTGACTTCCACTACCAGGAACCATCAAATTCTTCCTTCAAGTTTACATAAGAAATAAATATCAAACAAATGACGCATAAAATATCGTATGTAACAAAAAAATTATTACAGGAAAAGATAAAACTCTTCGGGGAAAATGTCATAACTTTCTTCAAATCATAAACTGTTATGTAACGAATGATTCATTATGTACCTTTTTTAAGAGTTTATTTTACTAATTCAAAAGTAACATTATTTGTTTGAGTCAGTGTTTACACTATTATTATTATTATTATTATTTTTATTATATACAGACGATGGATATCGATCTCTTAGTTTTCTATGGAGTACAATCTAATTTTGAGTTACTGTGTATCAATTGAAATCCAATTACAAACTAATGTAGTAATTTAATATTTATCTGAGATGAGATGAACTGTAAAATAAAATTCTGTCATAAATACTTCAATACATATCTGAACATTTCACTTTCGTACATAAAGTTATCCGAACTTAATCGTAGAAATAACAGTAATGCATTGATCTGAAAGACTTTTCATGTTACTTTGATACAGTTTTACTTAGTGTTGTTTAAGTAAATTTAAATTTATCAACGAAAATAAATTAAAATATATATTAACAATAATCAATTAAACAGTTGATAAACTTACATTTTTTCGTAATTTCCTATATAAATAATCTATTTCATCTACATTGTTGTGGGATAACTGTACATTTTCCAAAGATTTGATTGAATCTTTACTAGAATTCACATAATTCTGTACATTACTATTTATACAGTCAAATGTTTTTGTAGATAAATTAGCAATTATTGGAAGTTTAATCAAATTTTCCGATATTTGTTGTTCTGTTGTTTTATCTAAATGACTTATAGTTTGATGACAGTTTTCTATTGAAAATGATAAATTTGAATATTGTTGGCATGAAGTTCTGTTGTTGCTGTTGATATTATCAACATCTTCTGTTATGTCTAATGATTTAAGTTCATTCATATTCTGTTTTGATTTGAATTGATCAGACAAAATGTAGCAATGATCATTGTTCTATTAAGAGCTAGTTCACCTTTAAGATATAAGAGAATCAAAAACTTCCAAATCTGTTATCCATATACATAAAATTAAAGTTATCTATCTGTTTGTTATTTGATGGAAGCAAATGATTTTGAACAACAATAATGAGTATTGTGATCTATGTAGAGTTCAAATTTTGTTTGTTCTTCGTCTGAAGTGTTTATTTTGCATATATATATATATAAATGTATAAATATATTGATATGTATAGATCAATTTATCCCAATTCCCACTACAATAATGTCATTCAAACAGTTGTTAGTTAAAAACAGGTTGAGAAATATGGCAGATATAGTTGAGTTCGATGTCAAGGGCAACCAAAATTACTTTTATCCAATCAAATTTAAATGGGAAAAGTTGCAATAAATCCACGCCCATAAATAATCAGAAAATGTCGTTTTTTTATGTTCTTGCCCTTGTCATTTTCTGTTGTTTTTTCCTCAAATAATTATTTGATTGGCTTGTTCAAGCAACTTTTTTTAATCTCTTTTTAAAAAAGAAACCAACAATAATAACGTGAGCATAGATTTTGTGTTGCCAAATCGAGAGCTTGAAAAATCTCCATCTGTATATCACTAGACCAGTTAATCTAGAATAATATACTGATTAAATTAGAATATCTAACATCAACCACTATATCAAAGTATTTTTATCATTATTTTAAGAATGAAACTGAAATCAATAGCTTTGTTAGTGGAATTTTCGTTTTCTGCAATAGTTAATGATGAATATTGAATAGGATGATGATGCGAAATCGATTTCCCGTACACAAAGGTCTAGATACATTATAACATTTAAATATTGTGTTAGAATAATGATCTTCACTGATTGAAGTTACATTCACATTCTAACTTCCTCAAACTTCACTTGATTCTTTCAGTTCTTCGACCACATTGTGTTTTTGTGTCTTTCTTCATTGTTTGTGATCTTGTTACTTTTCACTCTTGTCCATTTTGATGTGGAATGTAGCAACTTAAACGGATCTTTATCCAAACTATAATTCTATACAGTCTGTACGTGATCACATGACATTGATTCACATCTTTTAACCTTATTTAGTTTATATTAAACTTTTGAACAAAAGTATTTGTGTTGTCTTATATTGAATAATTAATACAATTATTCAGTTGACAGGCTATCTTCGCCAAACTGAAGAGTAATTTTCGTCAGGTTCACTACTACCAACTATTTAGCTAGTCAAATTTAAGGTCCATCTGATATGCATCTATACAGCATTTGTAAAAAAAGACGTACTATTTAAAAACTTCAATATAATTGTGTAAAGAAAACGTAAACATCCGATTGTCACTAACAAAGATTTGACTTGATGTTCACTTAAAATAAATTGAAGATTAAGTATATTCTTTTTTAACATTCAAATTTATTTGTTCTCTAATAAAAATGTCGGAAATTCAATGTTCTACTGAATAAGAAAATTCATGATATATAGTAAGTAAGATAATTGCTTGATGATTCACAGTGATCAGTTTTAATTATTCAAACTTTAAATACACTTCTAGGAAATCATATACTGAACAAAGCTTGTCACTAACCTCAATTTATGAATCAACATATATGAATTATCCCTTTGAATAATCAATCATCTGGTGATAAATCAGTTGACTTTGTGTAATTATTTTCATGGGTGATAGTATAGCTGGATATGTTGTTTTCATGACAAGATAATTACTGTACGTCAAAAATTACTGGAACTTACAATTACTTACCATGTTCATTCGAAATGAATGACATATATTCAGTCAGTTCAGGTTGCCATACCGCACTGGTACAGAAACGCAACTGTCAGTTCAAATCCCATAGTGGTAGAGATAGTAATAAGTATTAGTGGTAATGAAGAAGATTAGGGTTCGAAGATATGATTATTCAAGAAGTATAATTCAGTGAGATAAATTTAGAAAGAGAGAGGTAATGATGAATTCAGCAGATTAGGATTTCATAGAACACAGAGAGTGAATGAACCTGCGCCATTGCAAACGATTTTGAGCCATGTCATTCAAGGTCTCTAACCATCGGTTACTTTTGTATTCTGATCCTACACAGAAGAATTTGTCATTTTGACTTTAATCAAATACATTTTTAGAATATCTTTAGTCTTTCTAAAATGTTCAACTATTTGTATTAAAATGTATTGCTCTATCATAGGCAATTCTCTTAAGTAGCTAAAATTATAAACTATATAAATCATTTAAATCTTAGTTTTTTTTATCCAACTTTAGTATTTCATAGTATGATTTCCTGTTTTATATTCGTAAATATGCTTATACATTTAAGTATTTTAAAAATGACTACAAAATTAATTAAAGCGAGTTTAGACTATATTTATAGTTGATTTAATTTTGTACACATGAACTGTTCTATAATTCATTGCTTCTATCAATACTACATAGAGTTGGTAAAACTTTAATGTTACTACATAATATTGTAGTGTTAAGTCAACTGTAGAAATTGCATGTTGAGTGAAGTGAGCATATTTAATCTAGTAATCAATTTAATTCTTTCACAAAAATAGTATTTATGCGTTTCAGATAGAGAAATTTGAGTGTTTTAAAAAAAATTTATCTGTATATATATATTACCATACATGTGAAATAAATATTATTTTCAGAACTATTCACAGCAGGGTTTCAAAACCATCTTCTCTATCACGTAGCCGATATTTCATTTACAGAATGCGATAACATGACTAGTTAACCAAACGGAATTCGTCGACCTACTTTAAAAGTACGATTCGATTTGCTTGGTAAAGCTGTCCTATGCCGACAACCCTGAACTAATCTGCGGTTTTGGGATTATTATACTCCTTTTGGCTAATGAATTATCTAACCGAGACGCCATAACTAGAAAAAGCAATGAGATGTAAATGATATGACGGCAGATAGTAGTGTCTGAGAATATCTTCTTGGATAGTTCCATAAAACTGTTGTTCGGTAACATTGCTATTGTATGAAATTACAGCAACAGTTATAACTCAAAGATCTCCGTATATGACTGTTAAGCTCATTGAGGACTTTCGGTAAACAACACACAATAGTTATATTGGTAATATGAAGTGTTTAGAAATTCACAGCAGCAAATTTTTAACTGGGTTTTGATTTATTTCGGAAAAAGAATGTCTTGAATAGTTTCTGATGACTTCATCCCTTGTATGATTAGCTAAAACCTTTCACCTAACATTTGAGCCACTTTATTATTTATTTAAGCACATGAGCATTATTACAAATGGGGCTCAGAAATAATTACGAACCACAAATTGATAAAGTTGTGAGTGATCCGGAATACTGCTCAGATGCCTGAACCGAAGCAGTAGCCGTTTTATTCATCGAATATATGCTACGATTGCAGATACTGATCGAATGTTAAGATAAACTTCCAAGCATCTAAGGAATTGCCGACTAAATACAACATTCTTAACCAACAAGGACCCCATAACATAGTCGAAATGAAACAAACTACAAGTGTAGCATCCAGTCAAGTAGACTAGTAAACTAGAATAACTCCAATTATTTCACTAGTTATATTCGATAATTATATTGATTAACCTGGTTTATATCACACATAACACAATCCCCAATTAGTTAGTTAGAAAAACACTAGGAAAACAAAAAGGAAATCAATCCTAAACATGTGATTAATGCAAAAGCCACAGAATAATCAGTTTCTAGTCAAGCTAAGGCGCTTATATGAAGGAAAACTTTGATGCACTCAGCTTAATTTTCATCTTCATATGCATGTTAATTTGATTTCTGTTAAACAAAAGCAGTCAGTAATTCGTTAGCCAGAAAATTACTTATTTACAATTTAAAAATTATGGAATGAAAAATAACGTCCAAAGATTAGAATCAATCATAAGAAATAACAATAAAAATTCCAAAATTACGAGGAAATCAAATTTTAAAAATACCGTAACTGTACAAATCTCTTTCCAGTATTGTACACACAATATATACATAAATGAAGATTCTGAAAGAATTTGTAATCTTAACAGTAATAACACAAAACATAGGTACATCTATTGAAATATTGTTGTTGAAAAAAAAATTAACAAAACCGAAAAACAACTCAAATTAACCGAAAAGTAATGCTTCAAACTTCATATTAAGACGACCCTGACGTTTGATAGCAGCACGATTATGACGTTTGATTTGACGATTAAAGTCAACTTGTTGTTGATGTCTTCTTTCACGACGATTGCGTTCACGAATTTCTTCAACGGTAATCACGGCAGGTGTCTAAAGTAGATTTACGAAATAAATTATAAATCTGACAAGATTATTTCACTACATTCAGGGTTATTTATCTGATAATATAAAAATAATTTAAAAAGCTGAGAGAAAATTGTTGTGCAATAGAAACTTGTTATCTTGTCTCGTACATTGTTGAGCATTGGCTGAGTGGTTAAAAGGCAGCTAACTTTGAGACACTAAATCCTTGGACCTCACTCCATTTATTATGGTTTCGGCGACCGGGTAATATCGTTAGCTCTTAGACGTGAGGTGTAGCTCACGGAACGTATGTGGTAAGTGAGTTATTATAATCTAAAACTTTCAAAATGGTAAAACAATTTTTAAACACTTGGAGCTATTCTACAAAATAGTTTGTCTATTGTTCCCACCTAAATGATTTGAAAGTTAATTACCATAATTTTAACTCACGATTCTCAATAAACTTAGATAGGATTAGGCAATATATTAAATAATCAGCAAACCATATTTTATCGTTCTTTAGGGTATGCATTTATTGGCGTTTAATTACTATTACCAAATAACACATCACTCCATCACCTATCTTCATTTTTTCCTGTTTTCGCTATTGTATTTAACTGATTCAAAATATATCTCAACAGTAATTGTTGAAATCAAAAGAATATTTCATTTGAAATGCGGTTTTCAGATGAAGGAGATACGTTCTCTGAACTGGACAGTTTGGTTGTAGAGCTTTCATTGTTCTACTGAGCAAAATATGCAGCATATACTTCGGGTAGAAGAGAATTATTCAAAATTTCCATGATTTTATGACAAGTAAAAACCACACAAACTCAACATTGAACTACGCCCAATTTTATCACTCCCTAGAGCCAAAATATGTAACTTATCAAGAGAAATTTCAAGAATATTGAAACGTTTAGAGGATTCATTCAACTACTACATTAAATCTCCCATACAATTCTTGAATAAGCTCAAGAGGATTAAAATCGACAACGATGAATCGATGATATCCTTTGACGTAACAATCTTATTCACCACAATCAGACCAAGCTTAACAAAATAAACTCTATCTCTGCTCCTTACCAACGACACATCCCTCAAAGTAGGGGGAACTTCAAAGTCAAAGTCTACCAAAACCCTTCGATTTATAACTAGCAACATATGTGTAATGCAACGAAAAAATACGAACAAATGAAACGAACAATAATGTGATCACCAATATCAGGACTTATTGAAGAAGCAGTAATGCAGAGACTAGGAGCCTCAATTTTACCAATGTGGATTTGTTATGTATACGACACATTCGACATCATAAAAAGAGACGAGCTGGAGAACATGTTAAATCTGATCAGCGTCTTTGATGATAAAAATCCAAAATGGAAAAGGAGTTAAACAACAAACTATCATTCATAAAAGTGTTGATCACTAGAACTGATACAGGAAAATCGATGACTCAAGTATATCGGAAGTCAACTCACACAGATTGGATTCTCAACTCTGGTAGTACCAACTCAAGAACTCACAAAACTAACCACGTACAAGAGAAAACACGCTGCAGCACACACACATGCAGTACGAAAAATTAAGAAAAAATATCAGATAACTATCTTCCAGAACGGTTATCCACGCAACTTTATCAAGAAAATATCAACCTAACTCATCGGCAGAAGCGAAATCAAGTACATGAACCAACAAACGGATCAGCCTACCATATATAAAAGAGAAGGGAATTTTTAGAAGCTTGGCACTCAGGTTAGTCGGTAATCAACAAACATAAAGAAATCGATCCAATTTATAAGCCAATCAGAAGAATCATATACAAACATAGAATCAAGAACTAGATCAAAGGGCGAAACGACCGAAATAAAGATGCAGACGACAGGTATAAGGTCAATAACAACCATGTCAAAACCAACAGGATAAGCTACGACTCATCGTGTGGAGAAATTCGAATACTTCATTTCCATCTGAAGTTTGCGTTGATGTTGTTATTCGGAACAATAAAAGCTCCACAACCAAACCATTTAGCTCAGAGAACGCAACTCTACCATAAATTTGATACAGGTTATAGAATAAACGTACCGTTTTAGCTTTTGTACTTTGCATACTGGTAGTGTCTCTTTCATTATTTTCATCATTATCTATTTCTTCTGAATTAGATTCATCATCACTTTCGGTTTCCGATTGGTCATTTTCTTGAGAATTAGTAGCGGAAGAGATGCTTTCCGATTCAGACTCATTGATGTCCTCGTCGACTTCGCTATTGTTCAACGATGACAACCGAAGTCGAGCAACTGAACCTAACAGTGAATCTTCTACTGTATGCCGAGAATGGCGATTAGTAGCGTTTTTGGAAATGTAACCCGGAGCTTTTAAATGAACGTCAACATCATCAGTTCGTCTACAAAAAAGATGGGGAATTTAATTTTACAGATCTTTATGTTACTGGAATTTGTCCAAACAATATGATATCATACGTGACAAGTGAAAAAGCAGTATGTGAGCTTCCATAGTTTAGAATTACTGGTATTTCATTGGATAAACTAAAGATATAAACAATATTTAAGCTGCCATAAAATGTACTACTATTCTAGTAATTGTAAATAACTGACTATTTGTACCAGTAGTTGCAAAGAGTTAAAATATCCCGTCATTCGTATTTTGGACTAAATTGATTAGAATCTATTGATATAAAGGCCCCTTAAACAGATAGGCCGTCTTCTTATGATTCTTCCGATGATACGTTTTAAACTGGATTCATAAGACGAACATAAACAGCAAGCAGAACAAATAACAAGTGGAAATACAGCAGTTTAATATTATGATTAATAGGGGAAGGTTCGACCTGTAGTTAATTGGTTGGTAAGATAAATATTTTCACCTAATACAAATGATTACGAGAGGCGATTTGTTAAGAAAGAACATATCACTTGTCCAATTAATCTTTTTCATAACTCAGTAAGTGTGGGTAAGCGAGATTAACTTATTAGGAGCTGATATCTACTTCACTAGTAATTAGATGATTTTATTTTGAAGAGACTTATTTAGTGCTCAGTTTAATAAGACAGAGTTATGTTCACGAAAGGTAAATTACTTTAACTGAAATTAAAAGTCACTGAAAAAGAAGTGGGAAGCCAAACTTACTGGATGGAATCGAGGGAGGATGGTAGATCGTCAGAAGGAATATCAAAATAACGGCTAAAAAAATTGACAATACCATCTGCATCTCGTTCATAAATACTAGAGAATTAAGTAAAAAAGGAAACATACTGACTGTTAGATAGAGCATAAAAACAAACAATACTCAATTTTTCAAAACGAAACCTCGATTTGTAAATTTCCGGGTTTTCGATGAATATTTAATGTAGAAATTAACGCAACTGTATATAGGTTTGTATTGATATATATTGTAATCATAGATATAAAAAAACTAAGCAGGAATGAGAGGATTCAATGCAAATATAAGATACTCAACGCCACAGAGAAGGAAAGAGAACGTTAGCTACTTGATCGATTTCTGACCACTATACGTTGTAATTGTAAATTAACGTAATCAACACTTTGGAGACCCAAAATAATCAATCTACAGTTTAGACATAAGACTTAAAATACCAGCTTCACAGAGTATTATTGTGTTAGTATTGGTTAACGTAACCGTTTATTGATTTTGCAATCACCAGGAAAAGTCTTCAGAGGGGATATGTAAAGTTTACAAAGCTGTTTATGTGAACTAATAGAGAGGCAAATAGCTGCTCTTCCTGAAACTTAAACTACAGTTTTACTAACTACGGTGTGCTTCATGTTTAATGATGGAAGAAGAATAAAAACACATTGCCTTTGAGTTTATTTGACGGCAATGAGACAAGCAACTGTATCCACCAATGTCAAAGGTGAAGCGACAACCACGAAGCCTAAATATACCATATTTACTGGATTTCTGAACTCTAATTACTGCCTGGTTTTACCACTGCTGGTCTGAGCAATTTTGCTAGATGCAGACTATTTAGCAGGGGTTCACGCAATGACCACGATCAACGGGTGGGAACGATGGATAAGATGACTTAGAACAGACGATAGTGTGGTAGATACGTTTTCTACTCATCCGACTTCCGATTGTGAGTCCTAGTATTCCTCTGTACACAACTTTTCATTTCATTGTTTAGAATCATATTTTGTGCGTCAGGTCTTTTCCAATAACACTGATACCAAGTTGTTTTGACTCATTCATTTCATCGTACTAATATGGCAAAGGGATATTGGGTCAACGCATAACTTTGGCAGGCTTCACGCTGATCGTGACTGACTGACTGATTGCATAATTAATAATACTTACTTATTTACGTCTGTTACCCGCAATGGAGCATAGGCCGCCGACACATAGTCAATATGAGATCTGGATTTATTGCAGAGATTGTGCTGAGGGTGTTTGACTGTTTCAAAAGAAACATTCTCATCCTTTTAGCGATGTTATGTTAGTAATGCCCAGGTTCTGCAATGTCTTTGAGCGCAGCAGCGATAATTCAGTTGGTGTCATTAATTTGAAACATCGATATAATCAATTAAAAACCACGTAACCCAACAACAGCTTAGACCCAAACCAATCAGCCTATTCCTATCAACATGGATAATACTGAGTCCCAACAGCAGCTCCTACGTTGACGTGGTGGTCGGGATTGCCTATCGTGATGATCCAACCAAGCTATATTGCCTGGAACATATGTCCTTCCAGGTTCTACCATGCAAGGCAGAACGATTGGAGAACAGTCAGCCAGTCATTTACAACCACGTATCCTACATCTACCAACATGACTCAGTTCGCTTGTCAGTGATTTCATGGATTTCTGCCATGTTTTGGTTTGGCCGCCCCTAGCTTTCTTCCAACCTACTACTACACCACAAACAATCGCTCGTGGAGACAGTCGGTAGTTAGGCATACGTAACACATGCCCCATCCACCTCAACTGATGGAGTTTCACTAATTCATCAATTGATTTGCATCCCGACCTAGTACTCGTTCCCTAACTATGGAATTGCTGACTCGGTTGTCCCATGATACACGAGCAATGCTTCGGAGACAACTATGATCGAAGACAAGCAATCTACGAATGTCCTCTACTCTCACCGGCCATGTTTCGTATCCATATAGTAGGACGGAGCGAACTGCTGCACAGTACACTCGTCCTTTGGTTAGCGAACGGATATCTCGCCTGCGCCATAGGTGACGCAAGTTGGCAAAAGCCAATCGAGCCTTCTGTATCCGAGATGAGATTTCGTCAGTCACCAGGCCATCAGCATTAATGAGACTCCCGAGATAAGTGAAGCGGTGTACACGCTTGACTACTTCACTCCCTATCACTAGTTCAGGTGCCGATGCAACCCTGTCTTGAAGCAACATTTTTCATTTCGGGGGGGGGGACCGCATCCCGAACATGCTTGCTTTGTTGCTTATGGTAGTCAGAAAACTGCATTTTGTCAGTGTTTTCACCAAATAGAACTGTGTCATCGGCATATTCTAATTCAACCAATGAATCTCCTGGTAGGTCTACTCCTGAAAATTCAGACGAAGATAATGTTATATCTAGGAGCATGTCTATGACAAAATTGAACAAGAATGGGGTAAGTGGACATCCCTGACGGACACCACTTGAAGTGAAGAACTCCGGTGACAGTTCGCCATAAGCTCTCACTCGACCTATAGTGTTCAGGTAGAGAGCCTGTATAAGGTTGATGTACTTCTTTGGTACACATTTCAATAAAAGACACTGCCACAGAACCTCACGATCCACTGAGTCAAATGCCGCCTTAAGGTCCAGGAAGACAAATGTCGTCGGACGCCTAGATGTGTGTCTGTGTTCCAGGACCTGCCGTAGTGTGGTCTATACAGCCACGTCCAGGTCTGAAACCAGACTGGTTTTTTCTAGGCTGCTCTTCACGAGCTCTAGTTAGGCGTCTAAGAATGACTGAGGCTAACAATTTAGAAACTATATTAGTTAGATTGATTCCCCTGTGATTGTCACAAGAACACTTTTGTCCTTTCTTATAAATTGGGACAAATACGGATTGAGACCAGTCGGATGGGATTACGCCGAATCCCCAGATTCTACTTAAGATCTCATGGTTAGACACCTTGAACGACATGGCTAAAAATCGTTTTCAATGGCGCTGGTTCATCCATTATTTGTCTCCTCTCAAATTCTTATCTTCTGGACTAGATAATACTTCTTGAATAATATTTATGAAAGTTTATCTTCCTGATTACTTCTAATACTCCTACTACCTCTACTACTATGGGACGAATTGACAGTTCCATCTGTGCTTGTAAGGTATGATAACTTGAACTGAAGTACGTACGTAAGTTCTATGTTGTATGTAACTGACTTCTGGCAGCTAACAAATTCACTGACTGACTAGTACGTTTGAAGGTATTATTTTTTGAAAGACTCCCTTTTACCTTAGGTTGTACATGATTAGGTCGACGTACCCAGTGTTTTTGAGGCCCCTCTTTAAATCTTTGTTTTAGATTGTGCTAAATCCTAATATAAGCGCTCTAGGAAATTTTTGCTGAAATAACATTAAAAAAGGTATCGGATGAAGTTGTAGCCTTACAGTGAGCTTGTTCTATCACCATTAGTGAGTTGGAAACTACCATGACATCTAATTTTGTTATGAATCGTAATTGACAAATAGATGTTAAAAATATGAATAATTCTGAGGACTGTTAGAAAACATCATTTGATGAACAGGGAACTCACGCGTTAGCTAGTTTATGATCACGACTGATCATCTGAGGGAAGTCGATAAGAACCAGTTTGGGATTACTAATACCCTCATCTTTTTCAGGATCCAAATCAGAAACCATCAGATTAAACTCATTAAAATCACCATGAACAAGACCCAGAGAAGCAACTCTTTCCAATATTTCCTTGGCTTGATAGTATAGTGACTGTGCAAAAGCAGATCCATTGGAACTTAGAATACTTGGAAGTATTCTGTATAGTGGTAAGCTATCAGCAACATATGACATGACTACAGCATTTCGGTTGTGAGTGTAAGGGATTGGAACGGGGATGCCATTACTCCAAAGGCTCTACAAAGCTTAAAAGTGAAAGAACATCTACATACCTGCATCATAATGAACTCGCGTTTCGATGCTAAACGATCCAAATACAACCAAGAGCAATTATTTCTGTGTTGATGATACTCGCGTTTTTCTTTCACTTTTCTGAAAGATGTTCTGCCAAGTCTGTGAAATTTAACGACGACCAAGTCTTCTTCCTTCGGAAACTCCTCCAAAAGACTTTCTGAGCCATCTGATGGACGCCCACAACGCGCACCAGCTGCAGCTATGTAGACATCAGACTCTTTTCCAGCCCCGATCATCGTCCCTAGACTTGTTAACTGTTCTGACTTGAAAAGTTGATTTAGAGCAAGATAGTCATAGCCCAAGTTAGTAAGACGATATCCTTTCATTGCTGAAAAATGGAATACGTCATTAGCCTTCAGGAACGCTAACATCATGGTAACTTAGTTAAAGACATGCAAGCGGATAAGTATTTCATTAAGCGCTTGTACATCATAACAGTTAATGTCAAATAAGATCATGGTCATCATTAGGAACACTTACAATGCTTATTATCTGTTTCGTAGGCTACCAGCCTATTTAATATTAACTGTTCTTGAACGAGATGGCTAAAACTAGTACAACTTCGTCTGAGATGAGAAATTTTGAGTGCCAACTCTGGGGGGACAACTTCATGGTTTTTAAGTCCCATCTCTATCTAAAAGCGAAATATGTTTACGAAATTTTCACTACTTACTGCTATTAGGGCACGCCAAGCCTCACTACTTATATATCGGAAACGATCCATTTTAATGCACTTTGGCATGATTAACTTTAGTTATCTAATATGTAAGTGTCGATAATATAGATATGCAGCTATGTATCTCGACACGCTGAAGAGTAGGAGTTCAAATTGAGCAGAGCAGTAATAACGTTGTCCAACGTTCAGCTTTTTAAAGTCAGATCAGCATAAGCTCTGTAATCTATCTAATAGCATTGTATAACCTTAGCTTACAGAAATTTTGTATACAAATACCTTGAAATCTCAGGAAGTTTTTGAAAGTAGACTCCTCATATTAACATAAGTCTAAAACCTGAGCTGTTATGTGAAAATTAAAGGCCTTTCGTTTCTAAGGATATCAGTTTATGGTTAAGGAGAAATGCGCCACCCTCAATTTTTTAGATGTAAAATCCGACGGAGCAAATATTATATTGTATTGATAAATAAATTCCCAAAACGAATAGTTCCGTAAGTCTGCGACAGTGATGCTGATGTCACCAGTTTTATTGAACACACCCTAGCTGAAGGCACTCTGACACACATCTGCATCAGATCTCCATTGTGTTGGCCGTCTTACACATCATTTCTCATTAGGCTGGTTCGGTATTCTTGATTACAAAGGTATTACGAAGATAAACCTTGTTAAACTCTCATTATCGGTGCTACTATGAGAAATTCAATAGCCAAATGACTACTAAATTGTTCCGGGCTTGTGAGTATTTTCACAAGTTCCCAGTTTTAGAAGACAAGGATAATGAGGTTATATTACACTAAAGTTTATTAACTAGTAAGTTAAAACTGTCATCAAGTTACCTCTGGTACGTCTATTTGTAATTGGAATTAAGTTCTCGATTACAAGGGTGTAAAAGACCAATGAGTAATCAAATGATGAATACACAAAACACCTTCACTTCTTATCCTGGGAAAACATCGATGGAAACAACGAAACAAGGCTACTATAACATTTTACAGTCCGTATATAATGAGGCTTTCCCCATGCCGTTTTTTCGGATTGATAAATCCATCCTTTGCCTCAACTAGATTAAGATGAGGTTTTAGAACAGAATGAAATGTCTGTTATCAGAATTTCCAGACGACCAAAGATCAACAATTATATTTCTGAATTTAGGATTGATTGCTTCCAAATCCATCATTTAGTACAGAGAAGATAAAAGCATTTGGTATGTCGACTTCCACTCAAGCGATTCATATTTCGAAGGGCGAAATAATAAAATTGGTTGTATTTTGGTTCACTTAGTGCCAGGTGATACAACATACTTGTAATGGATAATCTTGAGCATTTTGGAACTGACATCAAAGCGATAAAAAGACGATGGAATTTTTGATGCAAGAGTAAACTTTATGAGTTACAAACGTTGATGTGTTTGTAGTGAATCCACTTTCATGGAGAGAACACGACTGATTTAGTCGAAACATTCATTAGTATAACCAATGGTACTAGTGATTGTTTAACTGTACTTCATGTTTAACACATCCTTTGCGCGCAAACTTTACGTTTATGTTGCTGCAGTTTTTCAGTTCTACCAGCTCTGTAAATTCGCCCTACTTTCCTGGCTCGATTTCTGTGTTCTTTCGACACCTCGAAATCGTCAGCAAATATATTCTTTACCATGGATTTATTTATCTTTTCTGTGACGGGATAGTAATTAGTATTTAGTGGTGATAATAGCCAATCTCGACTCGATCACCACTAAATGTTCATGTCAACTATTGTTGCCAATTTTCAGACTCGGGTTATGCTGTATTTATTAGTGATGCATAATCTAATTAGCCAGAGGTTTAACTTGCCATCAATCTTATGAGAGCAATTAGAAATATATTTATTCGTGATGGGATATTAGATTCACCGGTAACTGTTCGTTCTCATATATTATATTTTCCTGCTAGCTACTTCGTTGTATCACAAATTTGTCACATATTTACTTCCCCTTCAGCATTTCCCGCTGTAATTTATATGCATTCATCATACAACCATATGTCAACTTTATTGCTCCTCGTCACTTGTTTGTTTGCTTCAGTATATTCATTCTATGCTCTTAATCGGCTGTTATTGACTGCTGTCTGCTGGTTCTTTCTTTCTTCAATCTTATCATGAGTATCAAAAGTGATCCTTTCTCTGTGATGTTTTTTTGCGACCCAAGACTTCATGACAGATATTGATATCAGTTAGAGTTATTGCTTATTTAATCCCATTACACACTTTTTACATGGTTGTATTATCTCTGAGTAGTGAGGGCTTCGAAATTATTGCTAGGAGTTACTCTAAAACTTATGTAGCTTTATAATCATTTTCACTCCTGAGGTTAATCACCTCTATCCAGCTTGCGTATAATGATTTCCACTTATTTCAAACCCTAATGGGTCGTATTTCTCCACTTCCACAGGAACCTGGGTGATCCTACCTGTCGCCCAAAATGCGCGCCCATTGCAAGTATCTATGTTCATTGTTGATTTGGTTGTCGTAAGGAGCATAGGTCTCGCAAATCTCAAATAAACTTGGCTTTCACCGTAAGTTGTCGCGATTCTTCTCATTGGAGACTCTCCTACTTCCAGAGCAGAAGTTTAGATGGTTAAAGTGGTCTCTTGGATAATCCAGAATATTTGGGTTGTAGCTTGCCAGTTGAGAGCAACAGCAATAAAAACAGTTTCAGGTCAAGCTCATCAACAGCCACCACAATCCACTAGTTCAGACAGCTTCTTGATATTCTCCGTCACCAGTATGAAGTACGTTAATTCTGACTTACAACTTTCATAACCCATCCCTCGATCAATACGACCCTGTTCCGTATCCCCAAACTCTGTTGCAACCTGTATCTTGAGAACACTAACCAGCTCTACGGTTACTGAACTTAAAGTATCCTATCTCGCAACACTCAACTTACTCACATAGTACCACTTACCATCACGATATTCACTAGACTGCTTGTCAGCCAACAACTGAATAATTTCTGTCTCTGCACGATATTAATTATTTGTGTTGTCAACGTTATTTGGAAATATAGCAACCTGTTCTGATGAAACCATTTTAACGAGTTCTAGAAGTCAAGAGATCAGCTAGAGTCTTGATAATAATATCGGCAATTTCAAGGATTATAATCGCATCTCAGAACTAACTATATTTGTTCTGTATGGACACCAACGAACCAGAACTATTGGGCTACGATGAGAGAGTTATCCTGATTAGTTATTTATGGCGTGAAATAAATTTAGCGTAAGTTAAGAAGCCACACTATTCCCGCCTATTCTAGTGAACCAAATATGCACAAACAAATGCAGAAGTACGGGTTAGCACAATAGGTAGAACAATGCAACACAAAACACAATACTTTTAACAGTTGATAAATAAGTAAATCTTAGATGGTGCACTAAACTATTCCGAACTTTGTTGTGATTACTTAAATCAATGTTTTTTGAAGTGTTGCTTGTAGAAACACTTGTCTTTAAGAGAAGATTGGACAGAATGTCGCTACATAGTACAATAGATTAAAACCTAACTTAGGGATGATAGATCGGTTATCATCATTACACAGAGGTACATCATAAAGATTTTGTAAAGTCAGATTGTGTATTCTCAAACGCTAATCGAATTCTTTCAACAATATAATGTAGTAAACATGATGAGGAAATATCTAGTTGACTGGTATGAAAATGACCATTGAAACTAATTACTTGTCCCAATGGTCTACTAAATGTAATCACATTTCGAGGAGGATTGGCTGTATCAGTTATCTGTCCGCTACAGACTGTTAGCTCTATAAAATTTATCTACTGATTAACTAATGCGAAACAGTATTCATGTAAATTTGCCAACATATGAAAATTTAGCCGTGTATATAAAACACAAAAGGGAATGTGTTTTGAATACAGTTCTGATTTATTTTTGGATTTCGAATCCGCCCTCATCTATAACCTTCGTTTTCCAACTTGCTCCATGCAATTCATAAGTTTGGTTAGTCTGTACCAGGTACCTACCGTTACAGCAGCTATCGACGTTTCAGAAAGTTAATGAAAACTATCTTCTGAAGTTACAGCAATCCCTCACCCAAACTAATCGGTCTTTCGAAACTCTCAGTTGTTTCTAAGTCCCAATTATCATCAGATATTTAAGGTTACAACAACAGTGGTTCCGTTCTGTAGACCAGCCTACATACAAAATAAAAATTTTCACTGGCGAATCAAGATCAGAAAACAAGCCAACTACAATAGAACTCTAATATAATAGATAATGTAATGTAGACCCAATGGAGCATCGGTCGCTGACCAGTATTCTACAACCTACTTTGCCCTAGGCCTTTGTGTCCAATTCAGCCTAATTCCTATTCTTTATTTTAAAGTTTGCATCCTTTTCTCAGTGTGATGAATTTTTTGGTCTTCCTCTTTGCCTTTGACCTTCATGATTCCAAGTGAGTGCTTGTCTTGTGACGCATTTGGGTGTTTTCCGCAATGTGTGTACTATCCACGTCCAGCACCTCTTCCTCATTTATTTCTCCTCTGAAATCTGGTTTGTTCTCTCCCACAGTAGGTTGTTGCTGATGGTGTCTGGCCAACGGATCGGAAGTATTTTGCGCAGACAACTTTTAATAAACACTCGTATCATCTGGATGATGGCTTTGGTCATTTTCAAAGTTTCCGCCCCATGTAGCAGAACTGTCTTGACATTTGTATTGAAAATTGTGACTTTGGTGTTGGTTGATAGTTGGTTTGAGTTCCAGATGTTCGAATGTAGAAATGAAGCCCTCGTTTCGTCGATCAGTGCCTTCATAGCTACATCAGATACACCTTTCTCGTCAATGATGCTGCCTAAATATGTAAAGCTTTTTACGTCCTCCAAAGCATCTCCATAAAGAGTGATTTGGCTGGTGTGTTACGTCCAGTTTTTTGCTCGTTGATCTTACGAAGCACGGTTGTCGAGCTATTTGTAATTCACGGTCCCAAATGTTTAAACCAAGAACGAAACTCCAAAGTAGATACCAAAGTTTATTCCAAATCACAAATTCGACCAAAATACTTTATTACAAATAGACGACCAATGTCGTTCTAACAACAATAATTATAATAATTACAATTAGCTTCTAATTTATTAGCTCTTGGAGCAAAAAACTGCAAACGAACAATCAAGAGAAACGGGAGTCCAAAATG